GCTGGCTAGCCTCATGCCCAACCTTTACTCTTCACCATCCTTATTTTTGGCTTAGCGAGGTAAAGGAGTGAGTCGGCCAGGGATCGAACCCCGGACCATGTGCATGGTCAGCGAGCGTCCTAACCTCTCTGCCACCGCTATGCCATAAAATAAATGACTACTTGCTAAAAATCAAGGGAATATCCAGATACCTGTCCAAGGGACTGAAAAACTGAAATGAGGCTGACTAATTCAGTTCAGATTTACCAGTGGGGAATCAAAAGGATGAATAAATATTATCTCATAATTGTTGCTATTAGATGGTTGGAGGCAATCGGCAGGAAGCCCTGCTTATCCTAGGTTTCGTGCTAGCTGGCATCACCAGTCAGTAAGGAGGCGTATCTGTAACCTTGGAGGAACTCATGTCCCTTCTGAGACTCTAACCTGCATCACCCAGAGCTGAAGTCAGAGACGTTATCACTGAGCAATTCGGCCTGTATTAGAAACTTTGATTGAACGTTAGTAACTAGTGTGATGTGTCTAGTCCTTTGTTTGGTACGGACTGGATTCTATCAGTCAGGTTTGCAATATGGCCACCATTCTAGGTAGCTTGCCATCACGGTGCACTTTGAGTAGTTGCTGGCAGATAGCTTAGCGGTAACGTCTCTGACTGTAGCCTGCACTGGGTGATGCAGTTTTGAATCTCAGAAGGGACATAAGTTCCGTCAAGATTGCAGATACGCCTTGCTGACTGGTGGTGCCAACTAGCACGAAACCCATGTCAGACAACGCTTCCTACCGATTGTGTCCAATCATCTAACAGCAGCAACCGAAAGTGCACCGTGATGGCGACCTATCTAGAATGGTGACCATATTGCAAACTTGACTGATAGAATCCAGTCTACACCAAACAAAGGACTAGACACATCACACCAGTTACCAGTGTCCAATCAAAATATCTCTTAATATCCATTTTTCTGGGCTCAGTAGCCTAAAGGGTCATGCTTTGAACTTTTATTGATTGACTTTAGGTTTTAGTTCTGGCAGAAACATCACCATTACCTAGAATACGTTTACATCCAGTTAATGAGTGCTAAATAAGGCATAATGTACGTGTTGGTTTAAAATGTTAGCTAAAAAAGGATAAAAAGTGCATTTATAGTTGTGTGCATGGATATGTGTGTGTGTGCAGGTGAATAAAATTTTATAACAACACCAACAATAACCACATACATCATCACTATCAACAACATCAAGAACATCAACGTTAAAGACTACCTGGATATTCTTCTCGAATTCACAATAGTCGATCGTCTTTATTTTAAAAGTTGTGGCGATAGAGAGGGAGGGAGATGGAGAAGGGAAAATCAAGTCACACGGTAAATCAATTAAAATAAAAAACACCACGTTAAGAATAAGCAAACTAATTAAACTTTTAGGACAGAATGAGACGTGATCTGCAGACCTAGACGGGACAGTATCTAAATTATCTTAGTTTCTATCCACTCCAGTATAAAAAGGCGTTAGTTAATTGCTTATTTAGATGCATTCAACGTATATTGAGGAAGAAGAAGCGCCAAACCTCAGTAAAATATTGTTAGGTGACAACCGTCCATTGAATTCATTAAGCTCTACTCAAGTGTCAAAAGAAGGGCTCCACCAATCCAATCAGCTCCTGAAAAAGGACGTTATACATCCTTACTGTTCAAGGGTGATCAACAAATCTGATCAGTAAACAAAACTCAGGGCGACAGTAAGCAGAACTTACTGTGCAGCTAAACTTATTTTCATAGAGAAGGCAAGATCTATTTTGTCCAGCAAACCTTCATAGCATCCAAATGATAGTATCACATCCCACTGTGTTTACCAATTTACACGTATGTAACGCCACACGTACTTAGGGAGGACTCATTGGTCTCAGAAGGTCATGGCTACAAAATATACTAGGCAGGTTCGTCTACGGGTTCGAGAACATTTACCAGCTTGGTTCAGCAGGGGGAAAATTAAGTGCATAAAAAGCTCGATCCTGTCACACTTGGTCGATACTGGACATCATATCGATGTCAACACAGCTTTCAGGGTTATATACCGAATTCCGAAATCGTTATCACGTACAGTTCGCTTACATCTTCTACACATAGCTGAAGCTGTTGCAATAAGATCGACTAAACCGGAACTTTGTATCCAAAAAGAACACGTCCAGACGCTGTTCCTACCGTGGCCAAACTTGGATTGATGATTCTTCTTCTCACCAAGAGTGCTCCTTCCCCTTAACCCTCTTGGTTTTTTTTCCTTTGCTTATTATTGCAAATATTATTACAATTATTATTATTAATATTATTATTCGTCATAATTTATGCCCTTCATGCAAACATTCTCTCAATACTATCGAATTTTTCGTTTATACTATCCGGACTTATTATTAGTGATATTATCTCTTTTCTCAATATGCCCCTCCACCTGTTTCATTTCACATATTCGTTATTTCATTATGAACCTCCCATTGCAGTCTTACTATCTCCTGTTTAACACAGACCACTTTGTACTAGCCACTCACCTGACACCTTTTATAACCTTGAACTGACTCTACAAATCTATTATGATTAATCACCATTGTCTCCCGTTTTACAATATTTTGTAATCGAATTCAGCCTAGCACGTTTGTCACACAAATACGACTATTTATTTTGACACCCCATAACTAATCTGTTATTCTACGTTAAAAATGTATCTGCCGCATAACTGGCCTTTATCGTAACGACAACAAATATTGTATTTTATAATTGTAAGAACCTGAAGAGGAGAAATGATTGAAAAGAATATTCTTCGTTCAGAATGACTTTTAATATCCCAAAGTGGCCGCAACAACAGATGACATCACCGGATACAAATAGTCCTGGAAACAGATGCCCAACATCATCTATCCCAAAGCACATCATACAGACAAGTCACAAGTTTGATTTCAATAATACCTTTAAAAGTATATATAAAGCAAGTTTGGGTCACATATTCAAATTCGTTGAAGCCTCAGCCATGAAAAAGCTTAAACCTGTTTTATGTGTTCAAAAATTATGTGTCATTATTCTGAACCTGCCTTGGTAAACCAATTGTAGAACCAAAGTTCAATTCACTTAATAATATTTTCGCCCTCTTTTTTTCTCACCCCATATTCTCACACCATCCTCCTACCTCTTATCTGTGAACTTCACCTGTAATCAATATGGCCTATATTGTGATCATTTATTCTCGGTTGTCGAAAAATCGGAATGTAAACTAACTATCTAAAGGAGCTAGTATTGAGACGCACATTTAATGTGCAATTTAGATTTAATGGTGTCATCTATGATGAAAAGGACGAAGTTGCTGTGGTGTCTCCTTTGGGATCCCTCCTAGAGGATGTCTTCATAGAGAGCTTAGAGAATAGTCTATTGAAAGGAATGACCTCGTGTCTGAATATGTATGAGAGATATATTGATGGCACTTTTATTATTTGCGATGGTAACTGTCCGACTGTTGAACTCCTATCAGAGAAGAGTCAAATTCCACATTTTACTTATAAGATGTTACGGCAGATAGAAGAGAGGATTGTATAACGAAAAGGTTGTTCAACCGAAAACCAACCTTTGCAGGACACTAAACTAACTTCAACAGCTGGATATCTCTAGGTAGAAAGATAAATCTTATCCATTCTCTATGCCCCAGAAAGAACTGGAAAACCTTTATATGACATTGTTATACAATCGATTTCCTGGAAGGTTTATTGGGTAAAATATGTGGGAAGAAACCGCTCCTAGCCAAATCATAGTACCAAAGAAGACACCGTTTATTACTTTGGTATTTAAAGGAGACACCACTACTGAAGTAACTAAAAGTCGCCTGTCCAAGTGTATCAAACGCTCTTTTTACGCCGCTGACAAACACAGAATATTCTCCAGCCAAATTATGACTCGACAATACATGAAGGGTAAACTACTGCTTTTGTTCACCACCGTGTGTACCTACTCTTTTACATGCTCCTGTGGTTCTGATCACATTGGACGTCGTTAGTGTATTCTCTGGAGACGCGTAGCTGAACACTACTCGGTTTGGCTGATAAAAGGTGAGCACTACGTGCTCCAAATGCAATTCGCCTCAAAACCAGTGCTCTGTGTACAAAGAAGCAAGTCCAGCCCCTACTAGTGCCCTGGCCTTCAGTGGAGACTATAAATTCATGAATTTGTAATATTATCTTTCCTAATTTTGCTGACATTCAGTTTATTGTTATGTTGATGCTACTGAACTGTAATCCATTGATATTATTATTATTGATTCGATGTTATTTAAACAACGACATTAATGTTGTTCATAACACTAATTCATTCATTCACTATAATGTATTTATAACTGTAGAACCTGATGATGAAGTTATCAAAATGAGTATTGTTTGTTCAGTATCCATTCTTTTGAAAAGGTGAGCATACGACGATGGAGTCCTCCGTTTTTGAAAACTAACCATTTGACTTTAACGTAGGCTAAAGCTGATATCACTGGGCGTCTAATGGTAGATGTTACCTAGTCAAAATATAGCAGTTTGGTGGTCATGTGAAGTAACTATATAATTAGTGACAGTGTCTAGTGACATTCGCTTTTCTCAGTCAGTCTGGCATATCCTCTTAATGTAGGAATAGTGGTTGAGTTATGAGCCGTATATTGTGAAGCGTTGAAGTAACAATGGAACGAACTCAAATCCAGTATTACTGCTCTCATGGTATTAACATTTCAGCTTACTCATAGCTCGGCAAGACAAAAGTGCATAGATTAGTCGCTTATAGACAATGCTACTCGCATTTTACTGACTAGTTGTCTATTATGATCAACTACAAAGTTAGGCATCTTACAATCATAAAGTACTTTCATTGTTGAAGATGGCACTCAGTAACTAAGGTTTCGTGGCACTTGATATTTATTAACAATAAATGTCTCCCTTACAGATAGAGTCTGTCTGTCTGGATTCAACATAGAACTTGGCACCGAAGTACAGCAGTTTGAGTTGCCACGTTCCAAATAGCACACAAAGGTAGACAAGAAAATGAGTGAAGAGAATCAATAGAGTTTTGACAAGTATAAGAGTGAAACAGAATGAGTAATGGTAGAAAGGAATATGAAAGATTACAGAGACTGAATACATCTGCACTAGCCATTGACAACGATTTTCAGCCATGTCACCTATTGTCTCCAGCCACTGATTCTTAGAGTCCCGAGGGTGGGCCCCAACCCGGAAGTCTGCATCTCCCTACCTGACTCAGTTTAACTGTCAAGGATTTCATGGATTGATGAGGCCATGTTTTTGTTTGGCCGCCGCTTACTCTTTTCCAACCTGCACCTATATCAGCTAGTAATGTCCATTGGGGGAGTCACACTCTGACATAGACAGAAACAGGATTGATGAACTATTCAGCCGATTACCAACCTCATATTAGACAGCGCTGATGGAATAATTACAGATATATTCAGGATCTCCTGTTCCCTCTACTGTTTTCATACTAATTTTTCTAACTAAATCATTGAAGACCACCTGTTCTAAGGTCTTGAAGATAAAGCTGATTCAATTCTAGTCATTCTTTGAGACGAATTATAATCGTGACGGAAACGGTGTCCAAATTAATCGATTTTTGATGTATCGTGCAAATGAGCGATAATTTTCAAACCCGTTAACCTCTTGGATGAATGGAAATAGCGAGTTATTTTGAAGAAGAGGCAAGCTTATCACTGCTAGCCATCAGTTAACATCTCACCGTAATCTCCTGCATATTCTAGCTGTTATGTAATAAATATTTGAACTGCATTTGATATGACATTAGGCATTGTGAACTTATCATGTTCAACAGAGTTATACAGCATACGACTTTTGAGTTAGATGAATCTAACCAACTAAATGAGGCAATTAGTAATCCACCAGACAAAGAACCTTAGACGGAGATGACCTCATAGTTAGTAAACATACTTCCATTTCAAATACTCATAATTCCACAGTAAAATATTAGTTGCTCTACCTGTAGATAGAGAGTTCTTCAAGACAACAGTCTTTGTAACTGAAACACTCCGTAAGGTTGATTCTTGTTTCTCAATAGGTTTCGATTCATTCTATATTACTAATATAGTTTGTTGAAGAGTGATAACATGTGCGAAACTTAGATGAACCAAGCACTTCTATGAATGATCTCAAAATAACCAACAATGAACAACAAAAATTCACGAAGCTTATGTTTGCTACTCAAGACATTCGTTACAGCATACTTCATATGGTGAAATTAAGTAATCGTGATCCTTGAGTCAGCTAGTCAGTGTTTGTGTGGTTAATAATGAAGTTTTAAGGGATACATGCAACGTTCTTTAGACTTGAGGGAAGGCATATTATTTGGATAATTGTCTTAAACCAAACCTTAATACATAACACTTATCCCTATTCTTCATTTAGCGTAATCCCCAACTCTATATCCTCACCCTAAGAGATGGTTATTCGCCTGCCTACTTATACACGCTACGACAACCTGGGAGTTAATCTTGCAGAGTTTTAAAGTAGAGAATGTGTTTAGTATTATTACATTTTCAAGTTTTCCGGGATTTTACTGGTTCCAAGTCAAATCACGAAAGGATATCGGTTAGAGAACCTTTGAAAATCAGTACTGGAATTGACAGTTATTTTGGCATATTTCGAGACCTTTCAGCAGTTTGCAACAATCACTTTAGCAGAAATTGAACTCAGGACGTCATGATTAGAAGGTGAGTAAGTTACCATTCATTCAATTTCATACATTTATTCCGCTTAATGAATTTGAACAAAGCAACAACTACAGTTTTAGCAGAATAAAATGGTACCATCTTTTATTTCGTCGCCTTCTCGAGCGCTGGTCAAGACTCTCTAGTGTAGAGCGAGAAGAATATGCTCTACAGAGAAACTAGAGGAAGAATTGAGTTTCTTGAAGAGATACTGAAGAGCAATGGTTACCCTCAAAGCTTCATCAACAAGTATGGAAGATCTGAAGTGGCAAATGAAAAACAAATCACAGTAAGAAAAAAGCCAATCTACTTTGAGCTTTATTATAAAGGCGAAAACATTGCAGCGATGACCAACAGAAGGCTGAGCACATCACTAGCCATAGCCTATCCTGCAGCTAAGCTCGTTCCCGTCTTTCGAACAACTTGCTCTCTGGTGCAATCAAAAATCGATAGATATTCTTCTCATGTTAACTCCAACTGTATATACAAATTTACATGTATCTGCGGGAGCAGTTACATTGGAAGAACAGAAAGAAGAGCATATCTACGATTTTCTGAACATGTACCAAAAAGCTTACGTCTAAAGGGAACAAATGCTTTAAGCAGTGCCATCGCCAGGCATCTTCTTGACACGGGTCATGAGGTGGACGTCGAAAAGTCGTTCAAAATTATCAATAAGCAAAAGAGCTCAATTCTCCTTAAGTTTGCTGAAGCCTGATTTGTGCGTTCAGAAAGAATCGGTTATCAGTCTTTCTTTGCCCTGGTAACTGGATATTTTTCATCCGAATGCGAGATACTGAAAAGTTTTCATTGTGTATGATTATTATTGTTCGGAATAGTGTTTAATATTGCATTTATATATATATATTATTAGTGTATGTGTATATTGATCGATTGATTTTTGTTAAAAATGAACTCTGTGCAAGTATGTTAAATTGTTTTTATAGATACATTTAATAATGTTTTGCCCTGTAAGCAGCTGACGAGAAGGCGACGAAATAAAAGATGGTACCATTTTATTCTGCTAAAACTGTAGTTGTTGCTTTGTTCAAATTCATTCACTTATTCTCTAACTTATATCAGTGTGTGATCGAACTTGAAACTACTCAATTCTCTGCAAATATATACTTGAAAACTATCTTAATACTGATAAATGACTGCCTGTAGGATGAAGATGACTCAAGTTCTAGTGGGAAGTCGTTACCAGTGGAGTTCATCAGAGAGGGTGTAAGGCAAAACACTCGTCAGTGACACTGTCTAACGGTGGCGCTATAAATAACACATTCTTACATTTCTTAAAGCCTTTTCTACATCAATATACCGTTTTCAGTCGGTTTTCACATCTCAACCATTAGAAATAATAAAGAATAAGCTAACTTACATGTCTTTAGCTGAAGAATTTCTACCAGATCTTACTGCAGTTACGCTACCCTGACTACTTTTATTCTCACTAGTGTTACTTTGACCACAGTCATGGTTGTCATCAGTATCTGCACCATCAACTGAATCATTCCTTGGTGAACATATTCTTGATGAATATTTTGTACTTTCTGGTGATGTCAATGTAGAATCCGCTGGTGTTGGAGTTGTTCTATTACTAGTTGTAAAAGATTTTGTTGATGATGAAGTTTGACCACTAATACGTCGATGATACTGTGATGAAGTAATTAAAGTGTTTACTGGTAATCCAGACGACGAGAGAATTGCTTGTGCTTGTTCATAAATTGTTACATCACCTTTAATCCGATTGAGTAAATCATTAATTGCATAAGTTACTAACTCTTTAGAAAGTCTAGTCTGTTTGAGGAAAGAGAGAAGAAAAACAACGAAAAAATATTGTTTATCAAAAAACTTCTTTACGAATGCTAATACATGATATCAGTAGTATATTTCTTTTACTCCCTTGCGTTCCTAGTGGAACATAGGGCTTCAAGCTAGAGCTTTTGAAGTCTCAGTAGCACTGGCGTCATTTTTACGGGGTAGGGTTGCTAACCTCACGCCCAACCTTCCCTCTTTTCCGGGCTTAACACTAGCTTAGCGAGGCAAAAGAGCGTGTCAGCCAAGGATCGAACCCCGGACCACGTGATGCGTGGTTGGCGAGCGTTCTACCCCTGAACCACTAACGTACCAGTTAGTAGTACTAATATATCTAAGAAAGCAATTTAAATAATCTTGTAGTATACCTTACGACTAACTGAAACCACTTTGATCCAAGGCTTCTTCAATTATGAGACTCTTCAACAGTCTATGCATGATCAACAGTACTGTTAAGCGAGGGCAGATTTTGAAAATCTTCATTGATCTGCATTTAGTTATTCTTTTCTTTCTAGTCATTGTTTGCCCGTTTGGGTATCATCACCTCTATGTTCTACTGTTTTAATGAAACCTTTACGATGTTGGGCTACTTTGCACTTATACTGCAAATTTCTATATCGATTCACCATCAGTATGTGGATGACTAATGACCGGCCCATGCTTTGACTTCTTAGCAATCATAAAATTCAGCAACCATAATGCAGGACAATCTGTCAGCTTGTATTTTGTGACAAAAAGTATTCAAGTTGTGATTTTTTATGATTCTAATTGATAAATGTCGTGATTATTCTGGATATAGGTTATTTGCTACCTCCATATTCTTCTTGTGGTCTCAACAAAACAAGAAACGATTCAGAGTCTGGCATATGCTACTGATAAGATTTATCAGTAGTATATGAAGAGATGTTCATAGACATAAAAAATCAAATGACAAGGAGATAAATTTGATGTCAGAGAAAGAGAATGATTCATCCTTGAGATGATATATGGGAGACGTGAAAAGAAAACATAGAAACACAAAATGAAGTTCAGAAGTACCACAACACGGAAGATCTGTGCGAACCATGGGTGGCACAGCGGTTAGGACGCTTGCCGACCATTCACATGGTTCGGGGTTCAGTCCCCAGCTGACGCACACCTGATATCAACGATCAGTCTGCTAAATTTGGGCTATCGATATCAAATGCTGAAAATTCCATAATTGTAACAAATTAATGTGTGGAATTAAGCTCTAATAAAAATAATTATGCGTTGAAGATAAGATGTACATAGAGATATCAATTCTTAATAAAATATTCCTTTACCAAGTCTGTAGTCTTCTACCTTCACAAGTGGTGTCGCCGCCAGGATTCGAACCTGGGTTAGTGAGTTACAGAAGTAATTGTACATTACATAAATGGACAATAATAAGATTAATTTATATCAAACAAAAGATGGGTAAGCGAGTGGATTGAAGGTCTCATTAAAATTCTATCAGTTATCAAAAGTCAACCTGAAATAAGAATTTTCTTTTCAATAATTTCTCCTCTTCAGGTTTTTACAATTATAAAATAGAATATTTGTTGGCGTTATAATTATACCCAGTTATGCGGCGGATACATATTTTACGTAGAATAACAGATTAGTTATAGGGTGTCAAAATAAATAGTCGTATTTGTGTGACAAACATGAGAGGCTAAAATCGATTACTAAGTATTGTGAAATGGGAGACAATGGTGGTGACTAGTCATAATGGATTCGTAGAATGTCGGGTAGGAAAATTGACAAGTCAGTTCAAGGTTATGAAAGGTGTCAGGTGAGTGAGTGACTAGTACAAGATAGTGTGTATTAAAGAAGAGGAGATAGTAAGACTGCAATTAGAGGTGTTCATAATGAAATCATGGATGTGTGAAATGAAACAGATGGTGACAAATATTGAGAAAAGAGATAATATTACTATTATAAATAGAAAATTTGATAGTATTGAGAGAATGTTTGAATGAAGGGTATAAATTATAACGAATGATAATAATAATAATTGTAATAACGAGCAAAGAAAAAAAGCTGGACATCGCATCGACGCCAACACACCTTTCAGGGTTATATACCGAATTATGGAGTCGTTACCTCGTACAGTTCGCTAACGTCTGCTACACATAGCCGAAGCTGTTACAATAAGATTGACTAAACCGGAACTTTGTATCCAAAATGAGCACGTCCAGACGCTGTTCCTACCATGGCGAAACTTGGATTGGTGATTCTTCTTCTCACCACGTGTGCTTCTTCCGCTTAACCCTCTTCGTTTTTTCTTTGCTTATTATTACAATTATTATTATTATTCGTCATAATTTATACCCTTCATTCAAACATTCTCTCAATACTATCAAATTTTCTATATATACTATCCGGACTTATTACTAGTAATATTATCTCTTTTCTCAATATATGGCTCCATTTGTTTCATTTCACACATTCGTTATTTCATTATGAACATGTCATTGCAGTCTTACTATCTCCTCTTTAATACACACTACTTTAAAACAATTAGTTCCCCTTATGAATACATATATATATATACAGCAGGTGAGAAAATAAATTTAGTTCAAGTTAAAGGGACATATTGAAGGTGAAAATAACAACGAAATTCACTAATCCAAATAACAGAGGTAATAGTACGTCTGATATAGTATCAAAACAAAGTTTACCAAGGACTGTAGGTTTAATGTTATGACGAATTGTTTTTGAACACACAAAGGTGGTTTAAACTTTCTAATTTCTAGCTAAGGCTTCCACAAACTTTAGGATATACCATTCCCCAAACACATTTTATAGATAGGTTTAAAAGATGTGTAAACGTCAATTTTATGCCCTGTCTCCATAATATGTTTCGCGATAGATGAGCTAGGTCTCCTGTTCTCACCATTAATGGGTTCTGAACATTCTGTTTGCTTCTGGAGCCATTTAGGAATACGGTCTGAAGTCAGCCCTTACTTGCAGAGATCAATGAGTCCTCCGTCTTATGTAAGTGTAGCCACAAGTACACTCAAATTGGTAAATACATTGGGATGTGACATCATTTTTCGCATGTTCAAAGGGCTTAGATAGATATATTGGCTTCACATTCTCAGTTATTATGATATTAGCTGCGTATAAAGTCTTTTTAACAGCAGCGTTCAGTCTTTGTCTAGTTATCAAGCTGCTATAACGCCCCATTTCGAGTAGCTTGATGTACGTGTCTTTCTTAGGGCGCGAGTTGGAGAGTGGGTTTTGGTGTTCTGACTACTTTATTTCTCCTGATGAACTTGTCTGGATAATTGTTATCAACCGGAGTTTGTGTCAACTTGCTTTCTTCTTCATCAAGTGTGTCTTCAGTGCATATTCGTTGGATTCTACTAAAGAGGCACCTTACTAAGGCTCTTTTATACTGAACAGGCCAGAAACTGTAGTAATTAAGATACTGTCCTGTCCAGGTAGGTTTTCTCTAAATAGATCGTTTTATTGACCCATCAAGCCGTCGACTAAGCAATTGGCCTACGAAAGAAAAACAATTATCTTCCTCTTTAATAGATGTAAGTGATATGCTATTCTGGACTTCATTCATTCGACTTAAAATTGAGGTGGTAGAACAAGACTTATCACAGATGAATACAATATTATCTACATACCTTCTATAAAGTGGCACATTTTCGATTAAATCCTCCGATAAACATACCATTTAGTACTAGCCACTCACTCACCTGACACCTTTCATAACCTTGAACTGACTTGTCAATTTTCCTACCCCACATTCTACGAATCCATTATGACTAGTCACCACCATTGTCTCCCATTTCACAATACTTAGTAATCGATTTTAGCCTCTCATGTTTGTCACACAAATACGACTATTTATTTTGACACCCCATAACTAATCTGTTATTCTACATAAAATAAAATGTATCTGTCGCATAACTGGGTATAATTGTAACGCCAACAAATATTCTATTTTATAATTGTAAGAACCTGAAGAAGAGAAATTATTGAAATTTATTATGGTTTTGGGAGGTCAGACCAAAACACGTCACTAATCAATAAAGCATTTCGACAGTTGGTCTGAGTCACATAAAGACGTACAAACTGGAGTCATTGGGACGATAAGTATCAATAGTGCAGATGTGTTCAATCTTTGTAATCTTTCAGACCTATTAAATACTTAATATTTTTCATGTAATTATTCTTTCCTCCGTACATTTTCCTCTGTAGTAGTCTCCTCGTATTCATTTTCTCCACCTTTATGTACATGAGGCAGTGATTCAGTGGTAGAGTGATTGCCACCTATGCAGTATGTCTTGCTGAGACACTCCTAATCCTCGCCTAGTTTGTAGTAAACCTGCAAAGGAGGGAACGTTGGGTTTGAGGCGAATGACCTCACCTCGTAAGAAATTAACATAACTCCTAATGCCGATGATCTAACTATTTCAATGTCTGTTAACTCTCAGCTTGACTGTATTAAGATTAGCAACTTTCTATCAGAAATTAGCAAATGGTCTTCGTCTGACGGCCTTAAACTTAATCCTTCCAAATGTCAGACTGTTAATTTCAGTTTCCGATGTAAACGAAAGTTAAATGAAGCTGTTGGTTCCTATGACCCTTGCAAAATCGATGATACTGATATTGAAATCAAGTCTGAAGTTAAGTATCTTGGATTAGTTCTCTCTTCTGACCTATCCTGGTCTTCTCATGTCTTAGCGATTTCTAAAAGAATATTTTGTCTGACTTTTTACATTAAGAAGTTAAGGCACTTAGGCATAACTCAACCACTCCTCTTACAGTTTATCAACTCGTGTATTTTACCTATTCTCCTTTACTGTTCACCCTTATTCTTCCCTGGATTGCTTAAAAAAGGCTATGTCATACTTCGTAGAACTCTGAAGACTGTCAGTAGGACGAGTGGTATCCTATTAGGCCATATCGTTGACATTGTCACTGATAGGTACTTGATGTCATGCAACAAATTCGCTAAAGGAATTTTGTCAGACTCTGAGCACCCACTCTACCAGCAGCTCCAACCTTGTGTCTCCTCAGGTAAAACAAGAAGTCCATAATGGATAAGATTTATACTCTACCACAGTGCCCAAGTTTTATACTTATATCAAACCAAGAAGTCTTTTCAGAAGACTTTATGCACGTACGTCTAAGTATAAAAATTCCACTATACCATATTTGGCAGGTACTTTATGTGATGAAAATAGTGTCAGAAATGAACTAACTAACCTTCTTAGCACCACTAAATAGACCATTTCCTTCAACCTTAAAGCATCAAACTTTATTGTTATTGTATTTCTTATATTTAAAATCCTCTCAATTTTTTCTTTTTGTTTATTATATTTTTCATAAGTGTGGACATAATTTTAAGCTGTATTATGACTGTTAACTTTGTATTTCACCTCACTATACCATATCAACAGAACATTAGACCCAATTATCCATAAAATGCTAAAGTTCCCAAACTGAATCGACAATACCGTTTGAAACAAACTCACTGTTACTAGTATTTATTATTATTATTATTATATCTAATAATTATGTCGTAAATGTGGACAAATTCCTCCGATTAATTTTTGTTTTAATTTTTAATTTCATATACATTTTGAGTAAATCGGATGCAATATTGTGACAAATACTGAGAATTCCATTCTGTATTATAAGTACTGTTTTTGGAATAAAGTAGATTATTATTATTATTAATTTCAAGCTTGAATCGCAACATTCCACTCGGAACTCAAAGAAATCAAGCAGGAACATTTACATGTGCTTTTATCAAGTGTGGCAACTTGAAATATCTAACTTTTGAACAAAGTTCTACGCTGATAATTCAGTACAGGTCTAGAACTAAGAATGGCTATATTAGATAAGTTTATTGGGGGATGAGGGTGAGTTATATTCAGTGGTGTGCGAGGAAAAATGATCACCACAAAGTACATACAAACAAATACCGAAAATAGGGAACACTGAATGTAAGTGCAAGCAAGGGCTGACAGATATCAAGTATAGTGGAAAAATAAAGAGGTTAAATTGTGAACTGTAATAAAATACTGGAGACATAATAAACTTAGTGTACATTACAAAAGCTTGACACATAATAAAGGTAATGGAGTTAAGTGACCTAGGTGAAAAGGAATAAGAAGGCCATAATATGACATGAAAATATGAATGATTATGTCTCTGCTGACCTTATAGCAGGCCAGAGTAAACTAAGAGGATGAATGTGCTTCTTTTGCACACATATGTCAGGTATTTTCTTATTAATCTCTATAGCTTCCACCATAGCTAAGAGACGTAATCGTGTGCCTTTAGGCAGATTGTTTGGTACTCAATATACAACCGTAAATGAATCATCTATTTTGATGTGGTGTTCACTATCTACTAGATGAGACAAAATGGCACTATTTATTGATTTGGTTACACTTTTTCCAAACCAAACAGGAACATGTTCAGAGAGCGTAAAGATAAATTCCTCTGAGTTCGACCTATATAACTAGCTCCACATGAACAGTTGAACTTGAATACACACAGTGATCTGGCCATCTCTTTAGTGCACTATGTCCGTAATGGTCTGGTTGGGAAACTGATGTGTAGTTCTACAGCAGTGAAAATTCTTTCAACCAATCTGATAAACCTGCGGCTTAAGATATCACTGAGTGTATCACCTTTGAACTGTACTCTTAAATAAAGCTTATTCTTATTCACCGTGTCACGCTTAATTTTATCACTTCTTTTGGAAATATACTTCTTTACAAAACTGGTAGGATAACCACTTTGAATCAGGGTATTTTTAAGATTTTCGACTTCATCTTTGATACAATCTTCAGTACATACGCGCCTAACTCTATGACTAAGACGACGAATCAAGTTCCGTTTACATTGTACGGGTATGAAACTATGGAAATGGATATATTGTCCGTTCCATGTAGCTTTTCTGTAGATGTCTCGCTTTAACGTGCCGTCTGGTCTTTTGGTAAGAAGAACATCCAAAAAACAAATGCTTCCTTGATATTCTTCTTCTCAAGTGCACATTATTAATGACCTGCATCAGATGTTGTTTATCCAAATTATTGTCACAAACGATGAATATGTCGTCTACATAACGGCAACAATATTCAAGTTTGTTTAATACCTCTCTTAGAGGACTATTTTCTAATTTTGCTAGGAAAATATCAGCTAATAAAGAACCCAGAGGGGGAACCATAGCAACCCCATCTATTTGACCGTAAAACTCCTTGTTAAATACAAAATGAACATTTATAGCACATTTTAGCAATAATTTTTCCAATTTCATAGATGTGATCCCGATATCTATTTTTCTCTCTACAACTTGCTTGCATATATAATCCTTGTGTTTCAACCAGGGGAAAATTTGTAAATATTGACGTTATATCCAACGATAACATGGATTTGTCCGCTATGTTCCTATCCTTAATGTTGTCAACAACATCAAAGACATCTTTTACGCAATATTTAAACCAACTCCCGATCTGGCCGTTCAGGCAGATTTATCAGCGAATGAAATAGTGAATTTGACATCTCAAGAATGGGATATAGAGGAACTCCTTGGTTATTGGATCTTCAGTAAACCATAAAGCCTAGTTGTATGAGAAGTTTCGGAATATGGAATTACATTCTACCACAGTGCCCAATTCCTGCGTCGGTGGCACAGTGGTTAGGACTCTCGCCGACCATGCACATGGTCCGGGGTTCGAACCCCTGCCAGCACACCGATATCTATGGTATGCCTGAATTTGGGCAACCGATATCCATGCTGAAAGTTCCACACTTGTACTGAAAATACGGTGTGGAAATCAAGCTGTAAATCAAAAAAAAAAAATAATAATAATGGTGCTAGTCAACTGACCTTAATACTTACACTTTCTACCGATAAACGCTAACTCATGCCTTGTTGTCGATCACATTTTTCGCCTTATATCATCATAAAAAAGATGTTGAAGGAAGGCATAACCATAGACTTACTTGAATATCTGCTTCCATTTCATCACGATTATCTTTTACAAGACGTTTAGCTTTTTGTAGCCTTTCTAATGCACGTGTTAAACGTGTATTTTGTTTTTCAATCTCTGTTAACTTCTGTTCAACTTCTTTTTCTAAACGTTTTGTTTGATCTTTATACAGGTCTATGTCAGTATCTAATTGAATTGAAGATTCTTCCATTTTCTAGAAATACATAATAATAATAATAATAAAAGTATTAATAATAGTAAATCATTGATAAAAGTCACAAACACGATTCGACTTATCTATTACTGAATAAAGTAAGCACTCCAGTACTCCAAGGAATCGTTGTAAATATTAGTCATTGCTTGTGTTCCGAGGGGAACATGTTGCTTTAGGAGTACATGAGCACTCCACTCGGTTATCTCCATTCACCTTCAACCGGCCCCATGGCTGTTCGTAAGCCTTCATTTCCATATATGATGATCCCCTCTATGTCATACTGAAACGCCTAACCTATCCCTTTCCAATAGGATTCTACTTGAGGGCCTGGTGTGTGATGTCACGCAAATGTTTCCTCAGGGTATATCCAGTCTGTCTTGATTTCCTTCTGCATATTTCCTAAGTAGAAGTTTCTTGGATGGTTCGCTGTCTGCTAGAGCTCCTTCTTGCTTGTCATTTTGGTCGAACATCTTATCTTCGGGATCATCTAGCCGGTTGAGCGGATGTTAGAAATTCTTTCTGTGATGCTCACGTCAAGTATTTGAATTATATAAGATTACCGACTTGCTGTTAGTGTGAAAATTGTGGTTTTATTGGCTGTACTAAGCGCTGTGAATCTCAATAAAGAACGCCATTGCTGCTTTTCCAAATCGATCTTGGCTGGCTTCGAAATCCTTATCCGTGCCCTCAATCTGTAGTTAAAAAGATGCTGCTCAGATAAGTGTGGAGACAACCTCTTTTAGATTTCTCTCATTGGTGGTGATTGGTGTTTGTTGTTGCTGTTGTTGGCTGGGTATCTTATCACCTCAGTTTCTTATGCATTCACCTGAAGTCTTGTACAAGAAATTATTCTTTCTGAATTTTTCACTCAATCTATGAAGTCATGCATAAGTGCAAAGTTTACAGGAAGCATAAACAACTGTTTTATTTCCAAAAAATAACTTAACAAACCTACATTATTCTTTAAAGCTTAAAAGATTCATAAGGAAATCGTATACTGTGAAATTATTGCTAACCACAGGAAGCTCTGTTTCATACGGCTTTTTCATATATTAACAAGTAAGGAGTATAGAATTAGTTGTTTTCTCTGAGGTGGTCGATTTAATTGCAGGTTTTAGTATGCTAACACCTGCCCTGAAGATACTGTCTAGAGGAACGATGAAAGCTTCACAATTAAATCAGCCACCACAGAGAACACAATTAATTCAATATCATCTACCTGAGCTACAAATCTTCTCCATTTTTTTCAAGTAAGGAGTATCTGTTATCTAAGAGAATTAGATATGCCTTCCAAAATTCAAACCTGTTTTATACAGTTTCGAATAAGAGATTCTATCAAGAAACTATTCAAACGACAGACGATAGATCTTCTTAAGACCTGTTTGGTAACTATGAGTCAGCAGTCAAATAGAAATTTGTGTATTTAATTGGTGGATGGTGACCAGCAATGGAATCCAGGATTCGCATCTTGTCCTATTTGGGGCCCATCAACTGGATGTACCTGCATTCCCCAGTCAGTGAGTGATGATGTTCCCACCGAGGCTCGAACCCAGTACCCATAGTTTCAAACGTCAAAGCGTTATCCACTAGACCACTTGGGCCACCAGGGCCACCTCTTATGCAACGGGGTATATTAATTATTTAATTCAATTTTAGATTTCCCGCCGATTGGTTGGACCGAAGTGCTCAGTTTAACTATAGATGTCTAGTAGAAAACAAAAAATTGAGCTAAGAATATCTTTTTCAGTAACTTCCTCTTATGGCTCTGCAATTATATGTACACTGAATAAGGCATTCAGAAGACAAATTTTGAGAGATGATATCTTCATCTCGTAGTTTCTCTAGAATCGCTTTACAACTAACATGGTTCACAATAATAATAAAATAAACTGCATGACAATTACTCAGTTATATAAAACAAAAGTACATACCAATGACCAATCATATTTATATAGGTCAAGTAGTCCATCATGGTAGGCGAAGGTTGAAGCCTATTGTTTTTTGTACACACAGTTTAGGCTGTATCTGATTAATCCTCAAAAGTGCCTCCATCATCTTCAGTAACCTTGAATTAGAGTTATGTGAAATAATTGTGGAGCAGTCATTAATATTGATTTTGTGACGTGACACTAATAAGTGTTTATCAATGGGTGATGATGCTAGATTTCTATTCAGGTTAATTGCATTGGGATTTTCTATATGATTTAGTTACCATTTTGGAACATGTTCTTTTCGACGCCATTGGAACAATAGACTTCAACCTTCGCCTACCATGATAGACTACTTGACCTACTTAAATATGTTTGGTCATTGGTATGTACTTTTGTTTTATACAACTGAGTAATTGTCATGGCTTTTATTTTACTATTATTTTGTACCATGTTGGTTGTAAAGAGGTTGTTAAGAAACCACGAGATGAGGATATATGAACAAATAAAAGGAACACCAATGGGATCGCCCATATCAGGATTAATAGCTGAAGCCGTAATGCGAAGATTAGAATTAATAGCTCTATCTATAATTAAACCGAAAATATGGATACGTTACGTCGATGATACATTTGTAATAATTAAGAGAAGTGATTTAGAATATACTCATAAATTAATAAATAACATATTTGAAGACATCAAATTCACAAAAGAAGAATTAGATAACAAAATCCCATTTTTAGATGTCTTAATCAGGAGAACCAACACAGGAGATTTAAAGACACAAGTTTATAGAAAATCAACGCACACAGATCAAATACTCAACTATACTAGCAATAATCCAGTTACTCACAAACGAAACTGTGTGCAGACATTGTTTAAAAGAGTTCAAACACATTGTAGCACTCCAGAGTTGAAAAGAATGGAAGAAAAGTACCTACAAACGGTCTTCAAAAAGAATGGTTATCCACAAAATTTCATCAAAAAGTGTTTTAAGTTGAATCAAAACACCAACAAGAAACCATCATCAAAGACCACAAGAAAATTCATTCTACCATACATGAGGAATATCTCTGAAATAACAGCTAGAATACTGAAACCGTTTGATATAGATATAGCACACAAACCAGTAAAATCGCTTAATTTGATATTATGCAAACCAAAAGATCCAACAGAAAAAGGGGATAAAATTAATACCATCTGCAAAATAAATTGTATGAACTGTAACAAGCATTACATCGGCCAAAGTGGGCGTCCCCTTCGAATCAGAATCCAAGAACATAAATCAGCCGTGAAAAGACATGATATGAATTCTTTAGTATCAATGCATGCAGACAATTATGGTCATCATTTTGATTGGGATCATGTCAAAATCTTAAACAGAGGAAACACGAAAAGTGCCAGAGAATTCCTAGAAGCCTAGTACTCAAGCGAAAATGCGATTAACAAACACGTTAATATAGATGAAATATACCAATTAATAAAAAGTAAATCAGGTGACCAAAAAGTTTAAAATCCAAGTCAATAGAAAATGGTCAATACATATGTAAAGATAGTAACCAGGAGACGCAATTACATCACTCATGAAGAAATTTAAATCATTTCACTTTGTGCTAAATATGGCGCTGAAGATGTTGTCCAGAAGGACGACGAAAGCTTCGCAACTAAACCAACCAGCTCAGAGAACACTTTTTATTGCAAATCATCCACCTGAGCTACAAATCTTCTCTATTATGAGGATATCATCTCTCGAAATTTGTCTTCTGAATGCCTTATTCAAATTTATCAAAGGGACTAATTGGTTTAATATATTGGTTTATATACACAGAATATTCTAAAGTAGTCGTCATTACCAATATTGGTGTCTTTAAATACTATCGACTTGTTAAGTAAGATTAATGGAAATACATAAATTATAATATTATTAATAAAAACATAATGGCGAATAGAATATCAAATAAAATTAAGGAAATTTCCACAACAAATTGAGGATCATTAGAACTTTTATGGTCAAGGTAACGACAGTGTCTGAACCAACTTCGTTTGGATACATAAGTTTAGTTTGTTAATATGGATCCCAACGACCCTAGCAGCATGTAGTAGACAAAGTCTAAAGGTGAAGTTCAGATTATTTGGTATGGAGTAAATGACTTTGAAAGCCACCTGCCTAGTTGACATCAATCTTGTGTTCTGTATCCACAAGAAGAGATAGAGTAGCGTTACGAATAGATTTTGTTTGTCCTTCCTTTACTTAACCACTATGCAGGGTGATGTTCACAAATCCAACGAGAAACATGCCTAATTTTACAACCTATGTAACTGGTCCCACAGGAGCAGTCAAATCGCTAGATACACACTGAAGAGGTGAAATTAGGCAGTTTATCTTTTCCTCCAGAACCCAAAATAGGGCTGGTCTTGAAGACACAGTGTAATTCAGCAGCATTGAATGCTCTTTTTACCAGATTCCTTAGGCGTTGTGTTTAAATTGAGACCTATTGAACATTTATGCAATGCGGTCAGGCCAAAAATAAGGATGCATCAGGTGTTTGAAAAATGAATTCGTTGAAAACAAACTGTTTCTTCGAGATGAACAAATCTGTGTTATATCAAGTATGGGTTTGTAGGGACTTTCTTGTTTGGTAGGAGGATTTCATCAAAAGCTGACATCAGTTAGAGAGCCAATGGAAACCAGCACCGGAGTACTTGACAGCTGTTTCATCCTAGTTTGGGACTCTTCAGCAGTACGCACCCACCGGGGTCCGAACCCAGGACCTTCCGGTTACAAGGCGAGCTCGTAGACCATCACACCACTGGAACCCGATCGAGAGTCCCAAACTAGGATGAAACAGTTGTCTAGTGAACCCTGGTTTTCAATAATTTCTCCAGGTGATGTTGGAGGTCATGACCGAACTGTATTCAAATAACAGAGACAAGATAAACTTAGGTAAATTCAGAGGGTGACAAATAATAATGATAATAATAGTGGTGTGAAGTGAACTAGGTGAAAAGGATTACAAAGGACATAATAAGACATGAAAATGTGAAATGATTAGGTCCCTGATGACTTTGTATTAGGCCCAGGTAAACATAGAGGACGAGTATACCTTCCTATTGATTCCTATAGCTTATTCTGTAATTAGGAGATGTAATCACATACCTATAGGAAAAAGGAAATTTGATCTTAGGAAGGTTATTCATCGTGCCTAACAAATTACATGCATAGTGATCCACCTACTAGGCGATTACACCCAACTACCAACTGGCTTTTAATTAAATTCTACTTATTAAGGATCTTTGCTAATTGTTATGATTATCTGTAATATATATATATATCTGTCCGTCTAATATCAATATATCAAGTAAGTTAAAAAGAGAAACAGGTTCTTAAATGTCATTGTGGCTAACTAAAATAGCCTTGTATTCGATTTACATTTCGGCAATTAAGTATAATTGTCGACAGAAGGATTCCTAACAGTATCTGGATTCTAAGCCTCATGCAGAAGCATAGCGGATGAATGATTCACAGGCCGCCACTGAGGTTTTCATTCTCCGTTTAATAGCCATTCAACACATCATTCTTAGTCTGATAATGTAAGTGTATATGAGCCTCCAAAGCCTCAGGATGGTCGGGGGTGGGTGCCTTGCACTGCGGGTTGGCCACCCCTCCGCACACCTCTTGAAATGCTCCCATATGACCGGGCGTCTTACATAGCCTCTCCTGAGGAAGTCCTACTCACTGCCTTCACGTGGCGGAGGTGTTTTTCACCAAAGTGAGAGGGCGAAAGCGGATGCCCGGCGCTCTTCCCCTGGTTGACTGTGCATTGGATGACAGTCTAGGGGAGATGGCTAAACCCTGATTCCAAAGCTTCAACGACTGGCGTATGAAGCTCACTGGAGCTCACCGACAGACGTATGGACAAAGGGCTTGTTGGGTGTCCTGGATGTCTGGCCCCATTCAAAAAGGTGTATGAACCGAACTCCGGTCACCGGCTGCCAATGGATAGTGGACTCCCTACTCCACTCCTACTGCCTTGTAGGTCACACTTGGTTGTGTAAAGGCTAGAGCTGCACTCTCAAACAAAAGGCCGAGCGATTCTGGGGACATCACTCGTACCAAATTCCCATGAAACTTCATGAACTCTCTTACAAACGACTCTATCTGGGATCCATAATGCTTCCCAACGTTCAAGCGAAAAACGAAGTGAATGCGCGAATCTCCAACGCCCGGAATGCGTTTCTACAGCTGAGGAGCGTTCTATGGAGCAAGAGGGAAATCAGTCTCAGGACTAAAATTCGGGTCTACCAAGCCTCCATACGATCCGTTCTCCTGTATGGCTGTGAAACCTGGCCTCTTTGCGCGGAAGATGTACGCAGACTCGAGGTAGTAGACCATTGGTGCCTCAGGTACATTTTGCATGTTCGTTGGCAGGACAAACTCTCCAACGAAGAAGTGCGTCGTCGTTGCTACAACATCAACCAAATTCCAGTACTGGTCCAACAACATCGCCTTCGGTGGCTTGGCCATGTTCTGCGCCGACCAGATGACGATCTGGTCAAATCACTTCTAAATCCCTCGCCATTACCATCTTGGTGATGTCGCAGGGGTGGACAGCTGAAAACATGGCTTCGTACAGTCAAGGGTGATATGGAGTGCCTGGGTCTACAAACCGTTTACGGAATCCGTCTGTTGAACAAGAATTGGATAACCCTGTCGCAAAACCTTGCATCAGATCGCCGCGCCTGGGCAGCGATAATTTGAGATGTTCATGAAGCCGGCTTATCCTCCCGTAGGAGATAGCCGAAGTAAAGTAAAGTAAGTAAGTGTATATGACCAGTAATAGCTGTTTAGCTTTCATTTTTCCATAGAAAGATTATTATTCATCTAAAACAAATTAACTAGCGTCGGTGGCATGCATGTGGTTCGGGGTTCGATCTCTGGCCGACGACGCACTCGTTTACCTCTCTAAGATAGTAGTAAGACTAGTAAAGAAGAAAGGTTGAACATGAGGCCAGCGACTCCATCCCATAAACATAAACACCACTGTTACTGAAACTTCAAGCCTCAAGCTTGAAGGCGCCCTATATTCCACTAGGAACGTAAAGGAATAAAAGTAAAATAAAATAAACTTACACTATATAACTCTTGAAGTTCTTTTAAACGAGCATTATCATAACGTGATTTAATACTTAATACGCGTATCTGCTCATTTAATTCAGTTTGTTGTTGTATTTCTTCAGCATTATCCGGTAGCTGTGAATGACTCATACGATACACCGTATTACACCCATTCATTAGTGCTAAAGTATTTTCTAATGCAATTATTTCTTGTTCTAATGTACGCACTTCAGTGTCCAATGTATCACCTTTACGTTGAAGTAATTCTTTATCTTGAGCAGCCTGTTTAAACAATAACAACGACAACAGTAATAAAATGAACAGGGAAATATAAATTTGAGGAAGGTATTTCCAACAAACTTTCAACAACAACAACAACAACTGCTTTTGCCTTCTACTACTGAAGATCAAATGGCCAGCTGGAAAAGATAAGCAACAAAGGGATTTAGAAACGAAACAACCAGTAGTCTGTCGCCCATCAAATATATGAAAGGAAATAAAGAGAGGTTAGACAAGGGCCAGGCAACAGACCCTTTATTGAGAAAACCAACAGATATTTATAGATTTTTATGCACGTTATTATTAGCGTTATTGTTAGCACAGAAGCAACGTCTTCTGATTGGTTGTTTTCCTGCTGAAGGTTATTCTGTCATCTCTTTGTTGCCGTCCGTTTCTTAGACAGTTCGTTGATATATCTGCGAATCGTATCCGCCTACGCAAAGTCCGCTGTGATTGGTTGTTGAGTTAGTCTTTGTTCTTGTTTTTTTTCTCATGACCAAGATTTGGGATGTAAACATTGACGTCTACCGATTTTGGCTAGCAGACAGTTCTCACCACAATATCATTTGCCAAGTAGGCCCTCGAGTGGAATCGATATTTAGAAGCGACGAATTAGGTGTGGGTTGAAGGGTGATACGAAGAAGATTATATGAAGAGAAAATGAAAGCTTGTAGGCAGTCATGGAATCAGAATAAAAGACCACAGAGAACAGAATACAAGTCAAACATACAACTAAATTCTTATGTCCCACTTGGAACGAATACTATGAGAACAATAACTACAATGTAAATGTGTTGATCCTATTTTCAGTTTTGATTTTTAGAATGTACTAACTTTTTTGTTCACCAACTTTTATCATGAAACCTTGGTGCATTGTAAGTGTCGTTCTAGGCTTTTTCCTACTGGATTAGAAAGAGAAGAGCATGTGTCGAACTCTGTCTGGACTCAGATTTTGATTTCACCTTTAAACATCACGCATTATATCAATCCATATCAGTCTTCCAGGACAAGACTACCTCAAATAGTCCTATTTTATCGAAATTCTTCTTATAGTGCGCGAGGATCGAAAATAGTGAAAACAAAACCTTATAGTTTCAAGAATTAAGACTGTAGGATTATTCTAAATAGTCAGTGATTCATAATAAATGGAAGAATGAGAAAGATAGCGAACATTGTGTGAAAAGAACAACTGAATGAGTAAGTGTGTTTGAAATTATCAGGTATCTTTTTCTTCATCAAAAAAGACCAATCTCAAGAGGACAGATTTCATTTTAATGGTGTTTATCGATAATCTCCTGTTGATTCTCACTTTTTTTTCACAGTCGGTTTTTATCGTCAGTGTTGGTTTTTGTCTAAAATGATTCTTATAAATAATTTATTGTCAACCAGATTAATTTTGGCTGGAAAATATTTAAACACTTCATAGTAGATATATAGAACAGCTACGGTTAAATGACACAGAATGACATCATAATTTTCGAGAAGTTGTTCTGTACACTTCAATGAAAGCATTCATAGTGGACATCTTGACAGCTCCGCCTAAGAATAACGCATTTAACTGTGCGCATTGCAACAGTACTTACTGGGAAACATTATGTAAGTGGCAGAAGAACTAGTGAGGCGATGCACAATTCAGGCAGAAATCGAATTTTTAACATTAGTTCCTTATTGTTTTAGTTTCTTTTACGAGTTGATCACCGACTGATATCAGTTAGAGTACCATTGAAAACCAGCACTGGAGTACTGGATAGCTGTTTCATCGTAGTCTACGACTCATCGGCAGTACCCACCCACCACAGGGGTTCGAACCCAGGACCTTCCGGTTACAAGGCAAGCTCGCATACCATCCAGCCACTGGGACTCGACTCCTCAGTGGTCAGTCCATGAATTTTAACTTCTACCAATTCGTGATTTAGCGCGACCACCAATCAATGTCATCGGTGGGACATCCATCCTCACACCCAACTGGATGGACCTCACTGGTCACGACTTCTCACTAGAACTCCAGGAAACTCCGTCCTGTAGCAAGTCACTAGTGAGCATCAGATTAATTTTCAATAGTTGGTTTGTAAGGATTAGATTTGTTTTTATGAGTTTGATCACAGATTGATATCAGTTAGAGAACCATTGAAAACCAGCACTGGAGTACTGGACAGCTGTTTCATCCTAGTGCTTGAGAATCATCGGCAGTATGCACCCACTGCCAGGGTCCGAACCCAGGACCTTCCAGTTCTTTGGTAGGCATTGAATAGGATTCTCAACATGGTTATGATTAAGGTAATATCTAAAAGAACCAGAAAGCTCACTCAAAGATAAAAATATGTTCGCTATATGATTCTTTTGAAACCACTGGACAACGTTAATGAGGTCAAATACTCAAATGAAAGTTATCAGTTCGAGTTAATTGATTTACTTAAGTAAATATAGACTCTGATTTGCTAACAAGTGCTCAAAATTACTAACACCTAAAAATAGAGGAGAGAATGCGATTAAGTCATATACAGAAGAACAAACCAAAAAAAAATAAATAGTTCATTTATGCAATCGTGTAAGTGTTTAAAAAGTAACGTACTCTGATTAAGTAGTATGTTTGATTTCTTGTTTCTTCACCGTCTGATGGCGCCATCAAAGAGGTTATTATTTCGTAACTGTTATCAAAAGATAAAAAAAGTTCAAAGTTAGTGCTACATTTACGAAGGAAAACTTAATAGTTTGAGAAATAAAACGGCCTTATTGTGAGCTGGTTAGGTGTCGGGTAATGAGGAAATGTGAGAACTTAAAACCTACACAGTTTAAAGGGATGGGATGTGTATTACTCAATGTTCACCTCACAAAGTTTTTTTGAAATACTATGAACCAATTTTGTGCAGTATCACAATAGATATTAGTCGACAAAGAGTTTTCTTTTCGTGACTTCACTTAAAACTTGTACAGTTATGCTGTGTTCTAAAAGGGTTCAAGATTACTATCCTGAATGATAGTATGCAGGTAGTAACAGCTGTATTGGGAGTGTGAACACTAAACAAGAATGAACGCCTTGATCATACTTTATATATATATATATATATGACTCATATATGAAGAATGACCAAGTCGTTCAAGAAGAATCTGTTTATGTCTTCATCCAGCCGAAGTTTAAGCAACCCATAAAGAAGTAGAGGTTAACTGGTGGATGGTGACTAGCAGTGGAATCCAGGATGCGTATTTCGTCCTGCTTGGGACTCGTCATCTGGACGTAACTGCATTCCTCAATGAGTGAGTGATGGTGTTCACACTGAGGTTCAAACCCAGTGTCCATAGTTTCAAACGCCAAAGCGTTGTCCACTAGACCACTTGGGTCACGAGAGCCACCACCTATTGTGCAACGGGTCATATTAGTTATTTAATTCAATTTTAGATTTTCCCGTCGATTGATTGGACCGAAGTGCTCGGTCTCGGGTTGACATGTCGGCTTCTTGTGCAGATACTTCGACGATGTCTGGGTATGTAATTAGAATTAGCAGGTACATGCAGATGACGAGTCCCAAGTAGGACGAAACGCGCATCCTGGATTCCACAGCTAGTCACCATCCACCAATTAACCTCTAATTACATGCCCAGATATCGTCGAAGCATCTTCACAAGAAGCCTACATGTCAACCTGAGACCGAGCACTTCGATCCAAACAATCGACGGGAAAATTTAAAATTGAATTAAATAACTAATATGACCCGTTGCACATAAAGAAATAACCTGAACTTTGTGTTCAGAAGCTTTTTATCCAGCCTTAGAGTCAATTTTATTTTCCTGAACTATTGTAGTTGAACTCTGTGTAGTCCCTTTATTTCTTTTTAAAAAGTTTCGCAACCCATTTTCAGTTCACTGTTCTCTTGTATCCTGTCAGTTGTTTTCAAATGATTACTCATCACTTTCCTGATCAGTTGTCAACCCTCTAGATTATGTAAGGTTACTCACTACTTTTCTCACATTGCTATTTCTCATTCTCTCTGATTTCTGTTTTTACTAACCGACAATAACCTCTGACCTTTAATCACTATTTACCATTATATGCATAAATCCGCTCCCCCCCTCGCCAAATAATTGTACAGCTCTGAAGTGAAGCTATGCGAAGCGATCTCTTTTTTAATTTATGTGTTCTTAATTATATCACATGGGAATTTTTCATACCTTGAAGAAATGTGTTTTCGCATAGTGGCCTGGTGAAATCTAGATATGATGGTGAAGATTTGTAGCTCAGGTGGATGATTTTGATGTGGTTGTGTTCTCTGAGCTAGCTGGATAGTTAATTTGCGAAGCTTTCATTGCTCTACTAGGCAACATCTTCAGCGCATACTTCAATTTGAAGTGAGCTTTTAGATTTCTCCACAAGTTTATTAGTCAACCAATCACGTTCAAGGTCACCAGGAGAGATGGCAATGAAAACTTCGCAAATTAACTATCCAATCACATCAAAATCACCCACCTGATGAAATCATCTGTCTACCGAAACTTTTCGTATTGTAATAAACATCAAATTTTATTTAGTTTTGACTTTGTTTTAATTATGTAATGAGAATTTTCTTTGAAGAACAGTCTGTGTTCATGTGTACTTGTGAATGTTGTGACAAGACTGGGATTTGAATACATCCTCACAGAGTGGACTGCGATTTGAACTCAGAGCATTAGATTGCTCGTTGATGCATTAAATCAGATTGAGTTTCTTAAGTTACATTTTTGATTGGTTTTCAATGTAAAGTTAGACATGCTTTGAAGGGACAAAATTTTCGGGGGTTGGGGCATATTTCAGATTAGGCAATACTGCATTGAATGTACTGGTGAATGTGGTGAGAGCCGTCTGTAAGCTAAAACTGCAAACAACAATTCACGTCTATGTTTATGTCCCGAATCGGGGCATGAGAAAAAGAACAAAAACAAAGCCTAACCTCGAGGAACTCAACAACCAATCACAGCAGACTTAGTGTGGGCGGATACGACAAGCCTGAATCGGACCCCGAGCCACATACACGGTTGGCGAGCATTCTACCGTTGTGCCACTGATGCACTATTATGCCTTTAAAAGAAAATTATTTAACCACTTCTACCATCAAAATAACAACCTTATTGATTTCTATCACGTTGATTTTCGTTATTTTTTTTGATTTTCTAATTCTGTATAACTTGTATTTCTTTGGAGTTATTGAGCGATTCCATTTATGCATTCTGATTACAACTCATTCATCGAACTGTCCACCTTATTACGTAACTCTAATACACTGATTCAAATCCTCTTATTCATTTACCATGATATCACCACTTTTATATTTGTAGTACGTTGCATTGAAACTGGGACGTTGAGCTGGACTCAGACGCGTTGATCACGCAGTTGTTAAGCTAAGCCAACAACATTATACGACAACTACCTGTTTCCCAGCCCGCTCTCCCTTAGTCAGAACATACAACCGTCTATTTTCTGCACCTGACTGACGAATGTCAAGTGGGAAGTTTGTTGTTTACTGGAAGGTATACAGCATTCATATCCTCCTCCCCAGTGCAGCGTGAGAAACTGTGACACACATGTTTCTGTTCAAGACAGAAGACTTCAGAGTAAACTTATGGTAATAAAGCACATGGCACAAATCAGGCTGGGAAACAAGAGCTGTCGTTCAATGTTGTTCGCTTAGTCTAGCGACTGCGTGTTCAGCACGTCTGAGCCCAGTTCTGTGTCTTTATTCAGGTCAATATACTGCAAATATAAAAGTGGTGACTGTAAGCGCAATATCGCTTGAAATTAAGTCACGCGTAGATAAAGGCTATCCCGGTCCAGAACAAACAAGAAGCCAGTCACTGTTTCTATGGTACTATTAATAAACAAATCAATAATTATATATACAACAAACCTTAACGGTTTCAAGAGTACAAAGCACAACGCTTAACAGAAAGCAAGGTACCGCTATCAGAGCGGAATAACGTTAAAGCCAAAATTGCGAATTAGCCGAATCAGACACGACCGTTCAGGTAAGCAGTCAGTAGAAGAATGAATCCAAGTAAGAGGTAGACAGAGCATAGGCACAAAGATAGAATTTAATTGGCTACTTAACCAATCAATAAATAAGATAAACTCGACAGAATAGTACAAAATAAGACATGGGTCAGCAAAATAACAGTTTACAAAATTACTCTATTGGGTCATGAGTTCAACTGTCTGACTAGACTGATCGAAGTAAAGACACACACACAGTTCATTAAACAAGGTGGGATAGACACGTTAGGCATGGATAATTGTGTTGCAACAATGCTAGGCTGATCCGGGACAGGTTGACTTGATTCAAGGATGGGAACTGAATTGATCTTACAGTGACATATTAACAACAGTGACTAATATTAATCACTGTGATGACGAAAACCCATCACTTTTGTAACTGCCCTCTTTCATAAAATAATGCATATAAATGCGGTTGTACAGCTAAAGAAAATGAATTCACAGAAAACAGCCTATTCGCTGTACCACTTGTTTTCACTAATATCTAGATGAAGATTATTCATGATATTAGAAAGCTGATTTATTGATCGATATCATAACGGAGTGACTTGAGTCAGAAACATCACACAGCCACGTCATCACCTCATAACTTCAAGGTCCTATGTTCAATCCCTAGTGGGATAGTTGGTGCCTACTGCTAAATAGTCTCAAACTAGGATTTTATAGCTGCCCATTCGTGAAATCTTCAGCGTCGGCTTCGTTAACAGCGAATCTCTCTTTCTTTCATTTATTATAAAATAATAAGGCTAAATTATTATCTACACAACTTACCGTTTAATCAACTTGTCAACTTTTGATTTACGCTCTTGAATTTCAATATTCAATTGACTATTTTCACTGGCATTCATTTTAATTTGTTTATTTAACATTGTTTGATGTAAATTAATTTGTTCTGTACGTTGTTTAATTGTTGAATTTAATTCTTCATAAGCTTTTTGTAAATCATATTTCTAAAATCAAATATATATTTTTTAAAGTGTATGAAGGAAGTGTTTAAATAAAAAGGCAAGGTAAAGTTTAACCATTGTGAATTGTAAACGCTAATTGTTCTTGAGTTAGTAAATCAAAAACTGAAATATCCCTACTGCATTAAGGATGATGACTGTTGGTTTAAATTTATGCAAAACCGTTCAGTTTTATTGGGGGAATGAAGAGTTTTTGATTGAGAAAACACTATTAGGTGTGAGATCAAGTCTATGAACCTTATTTTAATTCCATACATCTTTTGAACTGTCAAACAGTTTTCTAGGATGACTAACCACATATCAAAGGGATTTAAAAGATTTAAGCTGTTGAAATGCTTTGATTAACACAGAGGATAAAGACTTTTGCTTTGTCTCGTAATAAGTCAGGTGGTCTTCACTTTCGGGCGAAGTTCAAGAATAGCGCCCTAGGAGTGCGAACGCTTAAATGACCTTGAACGCATGCTAGTGATTGACTAAAGAAACCTATGATTATTCTAGCGCAAAAATGAACGCTGTTCATGAGCTCAGGTGCAAATTTCACCCAGATCACGTTTTTAAATACTGTCTGGGTAACGGATTGATAGGACGTACTCGTATATGTAGTTGCGGTGCTTCAATGAGCCTGCAACCGTATTCACAAGTTATTGATGGATATATATTTAGATGTACGGAGTGTAGGAAACGAACGAGTGTTCGTACTGGTAAGTGACACTCTCAGTTAATTGTCTTCTAGGAACTTTCTTTGCAAAATCAAAACTTTCTTTGACGAATATACTGTTTCTTTGCCATTACTGGATTTTGAAGTCCGGAGTGAGGTCAACAGCCACTCAGACAGAAAATACCTTGACGTCAACTGTGCAGTGGTTTCAGTTTTGTCGAGATTTAGCCTCATGGAAAATGAACAATATTACACACAAGTGTTAGGAGGAGTCGGTGTTATCATTCAAATTGACGAAACAGTGATGATAGAGAAGAAATACAATCGCGGTCGTGCTAGAGCTAACAACGTTTGGGTATTGGGAATTTATGACACCCAAATTCAGAAGGGATTGATTGAACTTATTCCAGACAGGAGTGCCGACACTCTTCTGCCTATTATTCAAAGACTGGTTTTGCCTGGCACTACTATCCACACAGATGAATGGGCAGGATATAACCGCTTATCGGATTTAGGATATATACACAATCGAGTTAACCATTCGATGATTCCGTCGATCCCACAACAGGCACTCATACTAATTCAATAGAGGGTTTCTGGGGGAGATTTAAAAAAAAGAGTAAGAGCAATAAATGGCTCTCAAAACCAAGTTATTTTTAGTCCCCTGGACGAAAATATGTGTAGAAATTGGTTTAATTTGAAAACTGACACTCCCCATTATAATTAGGACATATTTTTAACTCATATCAGAGAAAAATACCCTGTTTAATGTTGTTTCATGCTTTTTTATGTATATATACGTAATTTTTTGTCCAAAAATCCCTCATTTTTATGATTGGTCGGCTCAAGGTCACTCGTGAGTTCGCATCCCTTGGGACGCTATTGTTGAACTTTGCTCACTTTCCTATTGGGTTGACTGTGACTCACAGTGGAATCTAAGATGAGCACATCGTCCTATTTGGGACTTCTCAGCTTGGTGTATCTGCATCCGCAGTGAGTGACGTCATTCCCACTGAGACTGAAACACGTATCGTTTCAAAAGCCCAAGATTTAATCCACTATGCTACTGGGCCACGAAAGCTGTCCCTTGTGCAACGGATATCAATTTTATTATTATTATTTTTCAACTCAAAATTTTTAGACACATAGACCTGGTCAACACCAACTCATAGATTACGGATAGGAGGATAAATAGTTGGTTGTGTTCACTACTTCACTTGTGTTTGAGTGTTGCATCATTTCTGATGGCTTGAATCCTAGTGAAGTCTCTCCATGGATGCAAAAGGCTCACTTAATACTCACATAACCACTTCATCTTTGTCACAGTCATAGTATCATGCTGTCTACCATATGTAATGCATAAGATCTCTCTCTATTTCACACTTTAACATCACGGATTCGGTATCTAACATTGGAAGATACGAAAGGTTTATAGGGTTTTCATCATGGAAACTTTCGTTTAAGTGCTTACTTATGACGGGTAAAAGAAAATATTTGATGTTAACACCGTGTACATCATCTTAAGTAACGAAAGTCACTCAGTCAGTATAATAGTAAATCTTCATTGGTTCTAGTGACCGCCCTCCTTGTTCAGCAGTATTAGTTGAAATCGAAATAAGTATAAAATGAGGCAAAGTAGTGTTCTATCCTTTTTTGTTACCCACTGAGTTCACAGTCTGCTGTTTCATTACATACTTTGAAAAGAGTCGTAACTCAACTTTAGCCTGTCTACTTGCATTTAAAGCATAAGTCAGTTCAGTAGATTAAATCATTATGTGGCAATCGACCAGCCTCCTTTAAGTCATTTAATCTTCCATATATCAGTCAATGAGATCAGTTAATTATGGACAACCAATTAGAAAGAATTTTCAGGAAACAAAATCCACTTATTGGTATGTGGCCTTATTCTTAACGACTAAACTATTCACTCCAGCTCTGCTAAACTAAAAAAAAATTACTCCATAACTAATAAAATGTAAACAATCAACTTAATAATTCGGGAAATTCAACACACCGTTAACTCCTTCTTTGTCGTTATTACTTTCTGTGTTTAAATTTATACTACTTATTATCAGCAAGTAGTATGAATTTATACCCTGTTTACAATGTCGTTAATTCGTAACATTACCTAGTGTTTCCTATTGAAATTTATTTCACTTCGTATATAAACATTCTTTTTGTTCTAGAGTAATTATTTTCTTATGGTTAAACGGTGCCTTTAAGTACATTTCTTCTTTATGTCCCACTATCTGTTGAACACTGTTTATTCGAATCTCTTTATTCTTGGTCCATACATTTGCGCTACGTTTATTTCCCTCCGCGGATCACCTTTGACACAAATTTATTGATTTTTCGCAATGATGTGCAGTCAAAGTGGATTTGACAGCAAACAACCCTGACTACTCACAGTGTGATGTTTTTAAATTCTATTTATCATATTTATGTATACTATAGTACCATATTTTAGACAAATCCTGTGTTTTGAATTTTTTATGCTTAACTCAGCTGCAATTATCGCTCCGGATTTCTATGCACACACACAATATAACACTTTCACGGCCTCATCAACTTCATTCACAAAATGACTCACTGATTGGTAATAAGAAACTCTAGAAACATCCTTATTTCAGAAATTCTCACTGGACCAAAATCAGGACACAGTTTACAATATCAATGTCCTTTGAAAAACAAATCGTCTTTAACTCATCACAAAGTTATAATTTGACCAAATGAAAGCAAGATTATTTAAAAATCCAAATAGTACTTTCATTAGAGGAACAGAAGGAGGATGATAGAAGCAGGGATTCGTCAAATTCCCCAACGCTCAGAAGCGTTAACGAAGTTGGTGTTTTTCCAAAGTAGCTTTCATTATAAATCAACAAGCGGGTAGGGGGTGGGCACAAATTAATAACTGTCTATTTTCTTATTTTTAGGATTCCTGAGCAAGTTGTGCTTATAAATTTACTCAGAATCAGATTAAAGACTTGTCTCTTAGGATAAGAATAATGTGGAAGATTTTAAGCTAATATGAGTGTGTTTGATATGGTTCTATTTGTCTGAACTGGGTACTTTTGTCAATGATTATGAACATTGAACGTTTGTTTATTGGCGGGCAACTTCATGGCGCGAGTGATTCGATCGTGTACAGGTTGGAAGAAGACGAAAGAATACGAATAAAAGTACAATACATTCCTTGTAAAACATTTGTTTATAGACTTAGTACAGAATACTGATTTTAACAATCGAAGAATACAATTTCTTGTCATTCATTGTGTTTTGGAATTAAAGTCGATATCTGTACCTAGTAATTGTCGATTCGGAACGTCTTCGGAAATAATAGGAACTTAGGATTAAGTTCCTTGACAACTTTTATTCCGAAGCTTTCTTTGGCCTTCTAAATAACATCTTCAATGCTTCCTTCAATATGACGTGAATCTTTAGCTTAAAATATACATGAATGATATAGCTGTTTCTCACGATGACCTTGGCTGCGATCGGTCGCCTTCAGGGCTTTTACTATCGATGAGTTAAGTTGTGTTGGTATCTATCATTTCATTGGTCTGGAATTTGACTGTTTCGCCAATTTTACCATGTAAATTGTTAGTTTCCAAATGTCGTTTCCAAATGTCAGCGTAGACCGAGAAGTAATTTGGAAACTACTTCAACACTATGGCGTACCTCAAGTCTTTGTCAACTTCATTCAACAGCAATATGACAATGCCACGTGTCAAGTGATTCACAACGGAAAACTCAGCGAGACGTTCGAAGTGCATACAGGAGTAAGACAAGGCTGCCTATTATCACCGATGATATGCTTAATTGTGGTGGACTGGATTATGTGTCAGACTGTGGGAAGCAAGAAGGCAGCGAGCAATAGTTTGTGCTCGAAACGTCATCACTTAATATTACTGTATAACACTGTGTTATTTATCAAAATAAAATCTTATCTATAATGGAGTTATGACTCTAGAAGATCTGGATTTCGTGTGTGGATGATATATGTCTAATGTCACACAAACTCGAAGACTTGCAAGCGAAAACCAACAAACTGGCTGAAGAGATTGGCAGCGAAAACAGGACTGCAGGTGAACACAGAGAAGACGGAGGTGATGAAGATAACTAACTAACCGCAATAACAACAACCAGCACCAATCACCATCAACGGGAGAGATTTAACAGAAGCTGCCTCCTTCACTTATCTGGGAAGCATCGTTTCAACTACAGGCGGAACAGACGAAGATGTCGAAGGCAGTCAGACAGCATCAGAAAGGCACGATACGTACGCCTTCATCAACCTGAAACCAGTTTGGAAATCTTCCGCACTCAGCATAAGGAACAAGATTCTGATTTTCAACACCAATGTGAAGTCGGTTCTTCTATACGGGACAGAAACTTGGCCAGCGTGTCACGAAAAGGATTTCCAACAGGTTGCAGACTTTCATCAACAGCTGCTTTCGCCAAAAGAATAAGCAACAAGAAACTATGGGAACAAACCAACCAAGAGCCGATCGCTCAACAAATATGTAGGAGAAAGTGGAGATGGATCGGGCATACAATGAGCAGGCCGCCGAATGACATTGCAAGCCAGGCTCTCGAGTGGAATCCAAATGGGAAGCGACGAGTGACGTGGAGGAGACCGTGTGAGGAAGAGATGAGAGAGTTTGGTCAATCGTGGGCCAAGCTGAAGAAGATGGCAGGAAACAGAACAAAGTGGAGATGTGTTGTTGAAGCCCTGTGTTCCACTCGGAACGCAAGGGAATAATTTATATACACGTATATGTCTCTGTAGATGATCTTCACTTATGACTGGATACTCCCATAGATTTCCTTATGGTTGTATCCACTTGTAATTATAATAATCTTCTCCTTGATCTGATATTTAACCTTTTTATTGATTGATAAATTTAACTTGTATTCACATGTCTATTCTCTGGAGTTCTTTGTATTTCCGATTTTTTAGATTTTTACGTTGTTGCAGTCCCCTGAACTTAATTATTCACATCCACAGTGAATACATTTGTATACATCAACTCTAAAAGAGTTGAGTAGACAGAAAGCTTAGTATCGAAAAGGTTACGAAGGAATACTCATGAGAAACTGTTCATGATATAATAATAATAATAATAACCGGCAATCAATAGGAGCTGCTATATTTTCCTGAGAAAATAATTTTGAAACAAATAAGAATATTTATTTTTCTAGTATGAAGAGAGAACCATTAAAGATATGAATACTCTTAAGAATATTTATGTTAGTAGTTAGTGGAGACATGAATTCCTTATTTCATAATCAGTCAGCTCTTGAATACATGGGAATATAGTGGAAAAGAGGTTCACTGGCTTAAGCACTAGACTGTCGACTAATGGGTCTCACGTTCAAATTCCTTTCCGCCTACCTCACTATGAGCAACTGATTACAGCATCATCAGATTTCATATAGTAATAAGTGTGTCGCTCTGCTTGCTACATGAAAGATCTGTTCCGAGTTAATGATTACAGGTTTGTCCACGAAGTGACATGAGTGAGATAACCATTGGGGAACTACTTCATCCTGTTCAGGATTCTTCTGTGATACACAACTGCTGGGGGTTCGAACCTATGTTCTTCCCTAAAACAAGATGACTCCATAGTCATCCCAACCACTGGGACCTGATTCAATGGCGCATAAATTCCAACTTCTGCCAATTCGCAATATATATACATTTGACAATATAATGCTTTCATCAAAAGAAACATAAATTTACTCAAAATAGAATAACTTACCTTATCTGAGTATTGTTCAAATAGTTTAGTTAATCGTTTAACTTCTAGCTTTTTAAGATTTTTTTCAACTAAAAGTTTTTGTAAATTATTTGAATGTTTCTCTTTCTCTTTATACATGATATCCATTTCTAATTCATTTGTATTCAGTTGATTTTCAAGGGTAAAATTTTTATTTAATAAAATTTCATGTTCACGTTTCACTCGATGTACTTCTCTCTAGAAGAATTTTATTAAAAAAAATGCATAATAGAAAGAATAAGTAATAATAATTGTAAGCGCAATATCGCTTGAAATTAAGTCACGCATAGATAAAGGCTATCCCGGTCCAGAACAAACAAGAAGCCGGTCACTGTTTCTACGGTACTATTAATAAACAAATCAATAATTATATATAACAACAAACCTTAACGGTTTCAAGAGTACAAAGCACAACGCTTAACAGAAAGCAAGGTACCGCTATCAGAGCGGAATAACGTTAAAGCCAAAATTGCGAACTAGCCGGAATCAGACACGACCGTTCAGGTAAGCAGTCAGTAGAAGAATGAACCCAAGTAAGAGATAGACAGAGCATAGGCACAAAGATAGAATTTAATTGGCTACTTAACCAATCAATAAATAAGATAAACTCGACAGAATAGTACAAAGTAAGACATGGGTCAGCAAAATAACAGTTCACAAAAATACTCTGATTGGGTCATGAGTTCAACTGTCTGACTAAACGGATCGAAGTAAAAACACACATACACAGTTCATTAAACAAGGTGGGATAGACACGTTAGGCATGGATAATTGGGTTGCAACAACTGCTAGGCTGATCCGGGACAGGTTGACTTGATTCAAGGATGGGAATTGAATTGATCTTACAATAATAATAACATAATAATAGTATACCAAAAAATTGAGCAAAGAATACTATTTTCGATAATTTCCTCTTCTGGCTCTACAATAAGAAGAAGTGTATATAGAAAGCCTACATCAACGGGTCAGTATACTCATTTTTTCAGCTTTGTGCCTTTGAAGTACAAACGCAATCTGATAAAGTGCTTGGTCCATAGAGCAAGAGCAATCTGCTCTGATGAATGTCTTAATGAAGAAATTAATATTGTTAAACAGTTGCTGAGTGAGAACGGTTATCTAGAAAAAATCATTGATAAGAATATGAATCAAAAGTCAAGGCAGTTCAAGGTTCCAACAGTTCCTAAAAAGGCTTTATGCTTACAATTTCAGTTCCTCGGGGATAACATCAGCGAGATACTAACACAACGCCTTAGAAATGCGGTAAAAAGAGCATTCCCTACTGCTGAATTACGCTGTGTCTTCAAAACCACTCCTCTTTTGCGTTCGAGAGTAAAAGACAAATTGCCTAATTTCACCTCTTCCATGTGTATCTACTAATTTGACTGCTCATGTGGAGTGAGCCAGTTACATAGGCCATACAATTAGGCATGTTTCTCGTCGGATTTCCGAACATCACCCTGTATGGTTAAGTAAAGGACAAACAAAATCTATTCATAGCGCTATTCTATCTCATCTTGTGGATACAGAACACAAGATTGATGTTAACGAGGCAGCTTTCAAAGTCATCTACCGCATACCAACAAATCTTAATTTCGCCTTAAGAGTTCAAATAGTGAATATTGCTGAGGCTGTTGGGATCCACATTAAGAAGCCTAATTTGTGCGTCCAAAATAAGAAGGTAGTTCAGACATTGTCCTTACCTTGGCCATCTAGGCTTGAATGATCCTCAATTTTTGTGGAATTTCCCTAATTTTAGTTGATATTCTATTTGCTACTATATCTTTATTATTATTATAATTTATTCATCTTTAATGAAGTGTAATTCCATCATGATCCTACTTTACAAATCGATATTATTTAAAAAACACTGATATTGTTATTGACGACTATTCTAGAATATTCTATGTATATAAATCAATGTACGTATAATTGTAGAGCCAGAATGAGGAAATTATCGAAAAGAATATTCTTTGCTCAATTTTTTTTTCTAAACGATTAATTGACAGTAGATCGTGTGATATACTTTTATCTGACCTAGAGAGCAAACCAATCCGTCATTATGATATCTCTTCTTTTTCTCCTTCGAGAAATGAATGCTAATTATAAAAGGTTCAGGAGTACATTTTGTGAACCAAGGACACAACACTCAGGAACAGTCATCTCATGTATTGGGATAAGGTGCCATCAAGGGTAATGCTTTTTCACCTCATGTTTAGTAGAAACTTACGAATCAGTAGGTTGTTAGTAAAAGCAGCTATGTCGTTTTGTTTTTCATTCATTGGGAAATACAAAAACCTTTATTATAATCAATATGAGAAAATCCTTTCACATTGATTTATGTCTCAGTCATGTACACTGTTGCTCAGTCTAACTTCTATATCTTTCCAGTATTACTGAAGGAGTATTCAAGATGTCGGGTGTTCATGATCTTGTCTGAAAGTATTATGTCAAAATAATGATCCATTAATTAGACTGAATCCTAAATTATCTGATCACTTCATCTAATGAGGACCTGAAGTAATTGACGAGCTTGTCAATTACTTCCTGAAAATCAATAACTAGAGAAAAGGCGCGCCAGTATAAATAAATAATATATAATAGTAATAATAATGGTAATTAAAATCGCAACATTGTACTTACACGTAAATTTCCAAGTTGATTTGTTAATAAATTAACTGTACTAATTCGTTCATTTAATTCTTTTGTAAGTTCCTCAATTTTAGCTTTTTTCATTTCTTGTTGTTCAACACTTTGTTCACCTTTCATTTTACTAATACGTCTTTCCAACAATTGTACATTGAAATCCTTTAAATGATTAGATTTTAAACAAATAAATCAATAAAAGATAAAAAGGCGCTTTATTTGAAATATATATTTTCATTTAGTATGTTAGATAAAAGTTGAATAAGATTTATCATGCTCAAGTTCATCTCTAGTACTGTCGACATAAGTGTAAACTGAGCTACTGTTATGTCCACTCACAGACAATTATTATACTATTAGTTAGATTGTTTGAGTTAATCTTGGGTTAGTGAGACCTAAACCAATGTAATGAATAATCACTGAATGTGAGATGAGAATATTGTTTGTTAGTTTAGTGAATTGATTAATACAGGTTTGATCATGAGCTGACGTCAGCTAGGGAACCATTGGAAAACCAGGGAGTACTGGAAAACTGTTTTATCCCAGTTTGAGATTTGATATGATCTCAAATACAATTAAAGTCTCCTTAATAGATACTTCTTCGTTCTTCCAGACTGTAAGTCACACTCTGTTTTAGGCTTTATGATAACACTTGACTAAAAGTGAGTCTTAGTCTGGACAGCAGCTTGAAAGCAAAGTACTAAATTACATGAGTCCTGACAGTTGTAAAGCTTTCACAGAACACTGGGGCTTTACTGTTTCAGTTCAAAATTCGTGTGTATAGGCCAAAGTGTTTATAGTCATATTAAAATCATTTAGAACCACTGAACATAGTACCTCCCTGTTACAATGGCGAGATCGTAAAGCATTGCGCCACCGGTGGAACCAACCCGACGACCCATGAATTCCAACTTCTACCATACCGAGATATATGGTGCGGGTAAATGTCGTCTTACCTGGTTTGTTGGACCCTAAAGTGCATCCTATCCAAGTCGAAGTGGTCGAAGCACTAGACAGCTGTCAAGATCGTTTTAAGCTTAAGCCCACTAGCAGCGTAGCCAGTTTGACTCAGATCAGAGAACCTAACCAGTTCAAATCATCCTACGTATAAAAATATTTTCATCTGACACTATTTCCTGACACTGTGTTTGCAATTTGTATCATATATTTTATACTACTTAATATTAATAAGTAGCATTACAAAAATAATCAAAATAATGTCATAACATTTCATGTGTCGTCTTGTTCAGAAGAATTATTCGGATTTTGATAGAAATGAAAATATATCAACAAAAAGTATATCAAATAAGGGGAACTTGTGTGAATTTCTTTTTATGAGTGGTACTGATTCCATTCTCACAAGTTTGATGGCTACTAAATACACGTTACAATAGAGTATCTAGCTAAATGTTCCCATATCAAAGAATTAGTTTGACCGGTTATCCTTTGGTTATTTCACTAAATCATGGTTCATTTTTCAGTGGTCTCAGTGGCTTAATGGTCAACGGGCTATTGTCGGAAGCTGAAGGTCTCAGGATCGGTCGCAGGTCATGGGTCAGTATAGGTGAGTGATGCTGGAGAATTCCAAACTTGGAGGAAACATCTGAGAGGTTTTTTAAATGATATTATTTAACGACGATACAACTTGGAGTCAGTCAAATCCTTGCTAACTAACATCTGAAAATTTAATTTAATTTCTGGATTCCACTGCTAGTCATCATCCACCAATTAAATTCTAATTACATGCCCAGACATCATCGAAGCATCTTCACAAGAAGTCAACCTGAGACTGAACACTTCGGTCCAATCGATCGAGGGGAAAATCTCAAATTCAATTAAATAATCAATATGACCCGTTGCACAAGAAGTGGCTCTCGTGGCGCAAGTGGTCTTGTGGATGACGTTTTGACGTTTGAAACTAGGGCACTAGGTTCGAGACTCGATGGGGACATCATCACTCACTGAGAAATGCAGGTACATCCAGATGACGAGTCCCAAATAGGACGAAATGCGCATCCTCGATTTCACTGCTGGTCACTTTAATTAAATTCCATTATCTGAAAACTCTGCGATTTGGTATAATGGTAGGTATGAGAAGAATGTAAGAACTCTGAATGGTATTGTTTCACTTTCTTGCCGTGAACAAGTGTTATTAACATGGAGTAGTCTCTAATGTTTATAAGCACTGTGAGTATAAGTCATGTCTTTTACCCGAGGAGGATGCGATTAAGAGGACTCTAGGTGAATCGATCCCCTAGAAAGTTGTAGATAGAAGTTAATGAGAAGGATAATAGATTTTGTTTGTTGAACTCATCTACATATACAGTCTTGGTATTAAAGATGGAATTTGCCATTACAACACTTCCTTACTTGTTAATTTTATGTGTTTTCTATGAGACATTCCATGTCGAATGTTCAAATAATTATGGAATATTCCAGAGTAGGATGTAATAGACATCCATGTGCAACAAGTGTCTGACCTCGAAGCAGCTATTGTAAAATTCAACACAACTGTAGAATGGTTGACCTTAAAGATCTTATGTTGAAGATGTGTACTTCTGAAGAGCTCTAAAGGAGAGACATGAAAAAGAATATCTGGTCCTCTTTAATTTGTCCTCAACCACCTAGTCTATGTCCATTCGTGATCGAAAAGAATCTTTTAAACATAAAGCAAACTAACCTGACGATATAATACTTCTTGTTGTTTAAGTAGTTGGGCGTCTAATTTTTCAACTTTTTCATTTAAATTCCTCTTTGTAATTTCACTACCAGAAATTGCTTGTTTCAATAGTTTCTCTGTATGATTGAGTTCTTCGTATTTCTAAAATAGTAAAGAGAGTAAGGAGGAAATATTTTTGCACTTTTCCTACTTTATAAATGAAGTACAATAAGGAGTAATTGTAAATATGAGAATACAGGGAAGTATGAACAAAAATCGATGAAATTGTTCAGAGCATAGTTGAAGTACCTGTAGTAGGAGCTTATACGCCAACAAAGATCAAGTTTTCTGTTCCAGTGTAGTCAATCAATCGATGTAAAGTTCAAAATGGAAATTGTAAGAAATAACAACTGATGCCCTTCTCTCAAGAGGTGTCTACTGTCGTGCAGTGAACCAGTGGATAATGCTTTGAAGTTTAAAACAAATGGTGCTGGGTTCGGATCTCAGTGACATTACCATTACTCACTAGGGGTTAAAGGCACATCCTGATGATGAGTCCTAAATGGGGGATGCTCATTGTAGTTTCCACTGCTAAACACCATCAATCAAAATAATATCAACACGATACTGAACATTCTTGAGCTATTTGACCTAAAACTCTCCAGACACCGATTTCTAACAAATCAACGGGTCAGTATATTCATTTTTCAGCTTTGTGCCTTTGAAGTACAAACGCAATCTGATAAAGTGCTTGGTCCATAGAGCAAGAGCAATCTGCTCTGATGAATGTCTTAATGAAGAAATTAATATCGTTAAACGGTTGCTGAGTGAGAACGGCTATTTAGAAAAAATCATTGATAAGAATATGAATCAAAAGTCAAGGCAGTTCAAGGTTCCAACAGTTCCTAAAATGGCTTATGCTTACAACTTCACTTCCTCGGAGATAACATCAGCAAGATATTAACACAGAGCCGTAGAAATGCTGTAAAAAGAGAAGTCGCTGTTGAATGAGGTTATTATTAAGGGTTTGCGAATACAGCACTCCGTACTGTTGAAGTGATCTCCAAATTACTACACAGTCGACACTATCAAAAGCCGTTTCAAAGCCGACAAAGTTGAAGTAGACTGTTGACTGCTGTCTTGTGCTTTGTCCAATGATGATTCGTAAAGTAGCACTTTGACCCACATGTAATTCGCTTTTCCTAAATCCAGCTTGTTCATAGCGGAATTCTGCATCCAGCATATCTTTTAATCCCTCGAGGATGATGCGACTTAAAGTTTTGCTTCAGATGGACAGGAGTATGATTCTATGCCAGTTGTTGTAAAAACTTTAATCCTCTTTTTGAAAGTTTGACAAGGCCATCCTCTTTATAATCAATAGTTACTTTGGCCTTCCTTTCAAATCTTCTGCCCTATAAACATTTAATCATATTAACACAGACAAACAAACAGATAAATGAATAAATCAATCAATCAAGCCTTACTTGATTAATTTTAAACTTTTCATCACGTAATTTATTCAATTGTTTACAATAGGCATTATGATTCGCTTCTTGCAGAGATAATTGTTTATCTGCTTCATCAGCAAATTGTTCAGAGGTTAATTTACTCTCTGTTATATAAGATAAACGTGTTTGTGCATTTTCAATTGAATCTTTAATCTTTTCAAGGCTATCAATAAATATGAAGTGTAAAAAAAGAAAAAAAAAAGCATAAAATAAAGAAAATTTAAGTTTTTTCTTACTTCTCTTCATGAAAAAAAAACATTTGGGCAGTTTTGAAAAGATTACCAGCGGATACTAACCTTGACCTTGGATAACCAATCAAACGTGTATTTATTCGTCTTGGTGAGCAGCGAATAAAGGCCATAATCAACTAATTAGGTCTAACGTCAGCAGACTGGGGTCTACCATGTGTGAAAACAAAAATGGTGAATAGTCTTATGTGATTGAGGGGATTGACAACTAATTAGTTAGCTGATGGATAGATAACTTAGAAGGATAATTTACCTTCTAATTCGACTTCGACTTTAAATTCAACGGATCGATAAGTGTTGTTAAAGATTTCCAAGATTTTTAACATAGCCCGGTATTTTCATCAATATTGATAAATGATAATAATAATAATCTACATTATTCCAAAACAGACAGTACTTATAATACAGGATGGAATTCTCAGCATTTGTCACAATAGTGCATCTGATTTACTCAAAATATAAATAAAATTAACCAGGGGAATTTGTCCACGTTTACGATATAAAGTCAAAAATATTCGAAGTACGAATTGAGAATATTAAATATAATAATAATAACAGTGAGTTTGTTTCAAACGGTATTGTCGGTTCAGTTTGGAAACCTTAGCATGTTATAGATTATTGAATCTAATGTTCTGTTTATATAGTATAGTGAGGGGAAACACAAAATTAACAGTTATAATACAGCTTAAATTATGTCCATACTTATGAAAAAAATAATAAATAAACGAAACGAAAAATTGAGACGATTATAAGTATAAGAAATACAATAACAATAAAGTTTGATGTTGTAAGGGTGGAGGAAATGGTTTATTTAGTGGTGCAAAGAAGGTTGGTTAGTTCATGTCTAACACTATTTTCGTCACATAAAGTACGTGCTAAATATGGTATAGTAGAATTTTTATACCTAGATGTACGTGCATAAATTCTTCTGAACAGACTTCTTGTTTTACCTGAGGAGACACAGGGTTGGAGCTGCGGGTATAGTGGGTGCTCAGAGTCTGACAAAATTCCTTTAGGGAATTTGTTGTATGACATCAAGTGCCTATCAGTGACAATGTCAGCGATATGACCCAACTGGATACCACTCGTCCTACTGACAGTCTTCAGAGTTCTATGAAGTATGACATAGTCCTTTTAAAGCAATCCTGGAAAGAATAACGGTGAGTAGTAAAGAAGAATAGGTAAGCTATACGAGTTGACAAACTGTAATAGTAGGGGTTGGTTGAGTTATGCCTCAATGCCTTAACTTCTTAATGTAAAATGTCAGACGAAATATTCTTTTAGAAATCGCTAAGACATGGGAAGACCAGGATAGGTCAGAAGAAAGAATTAATCCAAGATACTTATCTTCAAACTTGATTTCTATATCAGTATCATCAATTTTGCAAGGACCATAGGAACCAATGGCTTCATTTAACTTTCGTTTACATCGAAAACTGAAATTAACAGTCTGGCATTTGGAAGGATTTAGTTTAAGGCCGTTAGATGAAGACCATTTGCTAATTCCTGATAGAAAGCTGTTCATCTTAGTGCAGTATAGCTGGGAGTTAACAGACAGTGAAATAGTTAGATCATCGGCATACTTAACAAAGTTCATTTCATCGGAGTGAGGCAAGTCATGCAAGAGGAAAGAAAACAGAAAAGAAGAAAGAACAGCGCCTTGAGGGACACCAGCCTCAGTAAGCAACGAAGTAGATGACTTTCCCTGACATACAGTGTACTGATTTCTTCCTGAGAAATACGAAAGCAGCCATTTGACAACCCAACAGTCAGTTTGAGTTTCAGCAAGCTTGTTTAACAAAATGTCCCTAGGTACTGAGTCGAAAGCAGATGTGTAATCTAGGAAGGTGCAGAGAACGAATTTAGCCCCCTTATCTAAGCTGGAGACAATGTTATGATACAGGACTGCAACTGCATCTAAAGTACTTCTACTGTGTTTAAAGGTGAATTGTTTAGGATCGTTAAAGGCTTTTAGTAAAGGTTGAAGATTAATTAGGAGTAACTTTTCCATAGCTTTTAGAAAAGGGGAAGTAATCGCAATGGGTCTAAATTTAAAACAAGTTCCAGTAGAAGACTTAGGTATAGGTACAATTTTAATGTCCTTCCAAACGGCTGGCACGACATTATTGGAAAAAGATTCGTTAAATATGTCCATGAGAGGATAACACAGGATATCTGCACACATGATGTCGTTCACCTACTGTTTGTAAACTTTCAAGTGACTGATGTTTGATTGAAGACTATTGGGCTAAAGTTACTCCATGAAGCAATCGGAGAGCGAAAATCCACGTGGGGAACACATCACTACCCCATCTTCCTGTCAGCATATATTTTTGATTGTTGAATGCAAACTGGACATTTAATGTGCAACTTAATATTAAGTCTTTGAGATACTCAGTGACTATATCACCGTGTAGATTATTTGAGTCAATAAACTAGCAAAGGTAGCACATAGTTCCCGTTATGTAGACATTGGTGGGAACAGAAGTTATGTCCATCGAAGCTATATATGTCTTATTGGATTCATGAATTTAAACTTATCTTTCAAAGGACGTGTTACCACTGGTTTTCTCATAGCTTCCAAAGTTCCTGCCAGTTATCACCTTCAGAATAAGGTGATCTGAATATCTAGGATTGGACGCATGGATAACTCCTCTTTTTGGATTTTTGGCAAACTATATAGGCGTGAAATTGCTGAACCAAACAATTGAGTCGTTTTCTAGGTCTGCTAGTTGGTTACTGACTCCTGTTTCATTTTAGAAGGAATTTTCTTAACCGCTTCTCGCTTTGTGTAGCGTTATCTTTCTGTCATTGATGAGAATTTCTAGCATCTTTTGAATGTCATCTGATCTGATCTGTCCAGTAAGATAATTCCATTACCTTTATCTGGACGCATAGTGAATAGACCTGCATTACTGGACAGTTGTTTTTATTCCACAATATGTTATTAGGTTAAAAGTGGGTCGTATTATTATTCCCTTTAATTCGTAGAGGAACATAGGGCTTCAGCCGTGCGTCTCCATTGCGTTCGGTTCTCTGCTACAGTCTTCACCTGGCTCCAAGTCTGCCCACACGTTTTCATCTCCTCTTCACATGACCTCCTCCAAGTCACCCTTGCACTGACGACCAACTCGCCGCTTCCCATTCAGTCGGGTTCCACTCGAGCAATGGCTTGTCTAGTGATGTCACTTGATGGTTTCCTCAGAGTATGACCAGCCAATCCATCTCCATTTCTTCCTGCCTATTTGTTTCACAATCAGTTCCTGGTTGGTTCGCTCCCAGAGATCTCTGTTGCTGATCTTTTCTGACTGGCCATCTGATCTTGAGTATTGAGCGAAGACAACTGTTAATGAAGGTCTGTAGTTTGTTTGAGATGCTCTTTATGACGCGCTGGCCAAGTCTCTGATCCGTATAGTAGCACTGACTGACTTCACATTGGAGTTGAAAATCCGGATCTTATTTTTCATACTGAGTAGTGCTGTTGATCTCTACACAGACTTGAGAGTAATGAAAGCTTGTCTTGCTTTTCCGATTCTTGCTTTGATATCCTCGTCAGTTCCACCCGCCTGTAGTTGAAACGATGCTTCCCAGGTAGGTAAAGGAGGTTGTTTCTTTCAGGTCCTTCCATTTATGCTGATTGTTGTCTGTTGTTGTTGTTGTTGCTGTTGGTGGTGTTGCCCAGAAAGTGGGTCGTACTTCTACTTTAAATTTTTTCACTTCAGATAACGGTCAAGTACAGTTGACTTGAAGTGTTGTAGTTCTTCAATGAAACCTGTAACTAAATCTCTTGTTTGATTGACTAGACACTCAAATTCGACTTCACTCTGAATATATAAATCTTCAGGTGCTTGATGATAAAATTTAGTTCCAAGCGATGGCGCCTAAAGTTGGTTCGACGTGAGTGAGCACATATAAGAAACTGAACACAAACAAGATTTGGTCTACGTCTCAATGATTATTAGTTTTACAATTGAGACTCAAATTCAAAAGTGATCTCTTCAATGACCACAGTTTCATTTGTCAAACAGATTAATGACAGGAATGATTTACACCATTGGGAGAGATTTTGAATCATGTCACCAACAGTCTCCAGCCACTCAGTACAGTATCTTCAGGACCATGATCAGACTGTCTACAAATGCTTAAGTAGCTGGCTCAAACTAATAGTCAGACTTAATGGATTAGTGGCATGTTTTAATTTAACCAGCAGTAACACTTACCCAAATTAATCTTACGTCAGCTAAAATTACCCGTCAAGGAAGGCGATGGTTCGACATGCGTAGCACATGACCTATCTATGTCAACCGATGCAGGTTCACACCCTCATCGATTGCCATTCCTTAATTAGTTAAAATCCTATCCCTAACTTAATTATTATTGACGACACTGTGCCACATACCAAGAGAGATAGGACACAGATACGGATGGTAAAAGATGTCTAGCCTCTTCGTATTTTCCACTTTCAAGGATAATTTCTCACAGGCGTAAGTTAGGAACCAGTAAATTGCTGCACAGAAGTAAATGTAAGATATGTTATTGTTAAACAACTCTACACACTGGATAATTTCCCACTGTAATTATATTCAAACATAAACCAATACATCTATACATTTTTGATTGGACACTAGTCAGTAACTAGTGTGATGTGTCTAGTCCTATCTTCGGTGCAGACTGAATTCTATCAGTCAAGTGTGCGATGTGGCTACCATGCCACTAGGTGGCTTGCCATCACGGTGCACTGTGAATTGTTGGTATTAGATGGTTGGAGGTAATCGGCCTCAGGATACCTTGCATCTAGGTTTCGTGCTAGCTGGCACTCGTCAGCAAGACGTATCTTGAACACATTACACTAGTTGCTGACTTGTGTCCAATCAAAAATATCTGATACAGTCCTACAGGAGGTCAATCGCGAGCCCGTATAACTCAGTGGTAACGTCTCTGACTGCAGGCAGCACTGGGTGATGCGGGTTCGGACCTCAGAAGGGACAAGAGTTCCTTCGAGGTCGCAGATATGCCTTGCTGACTAGTGAGTGCCAACTAGCACGAAACCTAGGTTAGACAAGGCTTCCTGCCGATTGCCTCCAACCATCTAATACATCTATACATATTCAAGCTGTTCAATTTAAAATTGAACCTGTTTATGATTAAGTATACTGAACAACAATAATAATACTAGACAGTTAGTTCACTCACTTTTGAGTTTTACTCTCTTTTTCTCTTTTTATCTGTACACTTTGTGCTCTTGCTTCTTCCAAGTCACTAGCCGCCTTGTCTACAGTACGTTTTAATGCTTCCAGCTATAAGTAAAAAGAAATGAAGACACCTCATCTTAGTTCTGTATAAAAAATTTTGATTAAAACACTCTTAATTTTTCACTAAATTACTTCATCGAAAGATTTTGATTTGTACGAGAGAAGTAGGAATAGCTTCACTGGTCATTAATAAGTCCAGCCTTTGTTTCAGTAAAAATTAGGTTTAGTATTCCACTTTCTATTTTTGTTTTGTAGATTGAATTTTCTGAAACAACTGGATAGATTTTCTGGGAAAGGGTCGCTAGCCCCACGCATCACCTTTCCTCCTTCTTCCAAATGTGGGACGGGCTAGTAAACTAGTGAACTGGGTGAGAAAACCTGCAGACTTTTATCACTAGCTGCTTCCTTCTCTCCAGATTGAAGATAAGACGGCCAGAAATGACTGGCAAAAAGGAAGTCTGACAACGAACCAACCAAGAATCTGTCGCTCAACAAACACGCCGAAGTGATGGAGTAGATATACGCTGAGAAGACCATTAAGTGACACATAGTCCACCAGACATACCTTCGACTGGAACCACAGTAGGAACCGACGAGTTGCTTATAGGTCTGTTGATAACATGGAGAATGGATGGAAATACTTGTATCCTATTGGTTGACTTCAATGAACCAATAAGATTTCTAGAATGCATTTTGTACGGTGATGATCAAAAAACTTAAATATCAAAGATATCGAACACTTTGTATTTAGTGTCCTTTCCCGATCACTTCTGAATTATGAATAAACTTCAGTAACCTAAGTTGATAGGGAGACTTTCTAGTATGATGCTGAATTGTTAGATAACAATTGAGATAATGCGTAATCACTGAAAGTGAAATGAAAATTTGAGTCACAAAATAGAATTTACAAATTTATCTACGCATGTGTAGTAGCAGTGAACAACTAGACAGCCTAACAGGTGTACTGTCCTCCAAGGTTCTGAAAAAGTCAAACAAAATCTGTAGGAAGTGAGGATTTTATCTTATTTGATTGATATTGGTCATCAAGTGGACAGAACAAGCACTTTCATAGTTATCTATCATATCCCGTTGAACCTACTGAATAAAATTCGAACTCACCATTCGACACATAGCCAAAGTTATAAGAATTTGGGAGGGTAACTCTAATCTGTGGACTAAAAAGCAGTTTATTCTACCTTTTACAGTCCCTTTGTTCAGGGATAGCTAATTAAAACTTCTCATCTCTTTCATACATTTATCACACTTATTTAAGCCCTGTTAATACATCCGCCTCACCTTCTTATTGATTAAGATATTGACTTGATTTAAATACCAAAGTGTTTACACTATCATGTTATCTTTTATTTTATTTGAATTTTAATAATGTGAATATTTGACATCCTGGTTATCATTCACAATATACCATACTTCGTCTATTCGAACTTTGTGTATCCACCTACATGTCTGTTCATTCAGCCTTTATTTGAAATCAATACCTTTCTGTTCTCTTCTGTATTTGTATACTGTTGTCTGAAGTATAGTAGGCTAAAACAGTGCCCATATTCATTCTTCGCTTATCCATTTTTAATCACTGTTTCTTTTGTGTTTAATTTTAAACTACTTACTAATAGTTAGTAGTATGAGTTTATTCTAAGTAACTATTTCCACTGTTATTTATTTCACTTTTGTTTGGTATGACCTAATTATCCTCTTATGGTTAAACGAAATTTGCTGCACATTTCTTCTTTATGTTCCAGTCTCTGCTGAACATTATTTTTTCGAATTAGTTTATTCTTCATCTGTACTGCACATTCGTGGATCGCTTTTGACACAGCTTTACTGCTTTTTTCTTCCTGAAAAACGGTGACAGTGCACTTGACGGCATACAATCTAGACGCCTCATAATCTAAGGTTTATATGTCTTTTTTATTATATTTCTATGTAATATAGTACCATATTTTAGACAAATCCTTTGTTATGAATTTTAATGAGTAACTCAAACGTTTGGTTTAATTAGTCGATTGGAATTATCACTCCAGATTTCAAAGAAGAAAGCCAGCCGACATCTGTTTAATATTCTGCGATGATTCAACAATCATTGTTTCACCTACGTTTCCTTATATAACTCTTCAGAGGTCATAATCACTCACATGAAAATGCATGACATTTGTTATCCAGCTTAACTGGCTTCATCCAACACTTAGAATGATTTTCATTTTGCTTTATTTCCAAGGTATTTACATGTATAAACGAACAGATTCAGACTCGCAGTTTTAAAATTGCACAATTCGGGAGTGGGGGCGGGAAAGTAATTACCACAGCTTCCTTTAAGAAACTTAAAAATATTCAGAAGACTGTTTCGTCCGCATAGGGCCGCGCTCATCAGCAGTGATTTGCACTGATTCGACTATCTGAACTGAGTCGAACCTGAGATACCGTTGATAATTTGAGGAAGAACAGTCGTACTCCGTCTTTAGTTAACTTGATTGTCGCATTTCAGTATTGAAACCAAATCCCATCACTGTTAAAATCGCCCATATCACAAACACTTTCGCTAATATGAATCACTTCTTTAAAGAATATTATACTTAGCTTTGAGAACAAGTCAACCTGCATTTGACCACAAAAACATTCAACAATACCAAAAAAAAATCAACATCAACTTTTCACTTACCTCACTGTGAAAATCTTGTCTTTTTATCTCTGTATCAGTTAAATCTTGTTTACACTGTGCTATATTCTTGACAAGTTCATTTATACAACGTTGAACATCATTATTATTTTCTTCTTGTGAATGTAGAAAACTCAACTTTTCTTTATTTAATTGTTTTTGTTCATAAACTTGAATTTTAGTTTGATTTAACCGCTTAATTTTTAAATAAGAATAAGTAAAACACAAGTGAATATTGAACATTTTACATTGTTTATTGACTCAAGTCACTTTATATGCAATTTAATGAAACACTTATTCAATTTCACTGGTTTTTGCATAGTTTTAAAGTCTTTATCAAATCATGGAAGAGGAATATCTCGTTCTCTCTCAAGTGGGTAACAATAAAGTGGTCATTATGGAACATATAGAAAATCAAAACAAATGATTCAGCAAAGAGACTCTTTTCAACGAATTTATCATCAAGCTGTACAATATACATTCAAATCCTAAAAACGTGACTTATCAACCGTACCCAAGAAGATACTTTACATGAGCTTGGAATTCAAAGGGGACTTAGCTTCCAATATCATGAAACGAAGGATATCACAGTCCCTGAAAAGAACATTCCCTGCTGCATCCCTGAGAATAGCCTTTTCTAGTCGACCATTATTGTTCAATAACCTGAAGGACAGGATCCCGCTGTTGACCAACTCTATGTGTGTTTATCAATTCACCTGCTCGTGTGGAGCTAGGTATATCGGTAGTTCGACACGAGTTTTGTCCAAGAGGGTGCAAGAACACTATCCTGCATGGTTACGAAAAGGTGGAAGTGGAGCAATAAGAAGTGCGATCATTGAACATCTGGTCGATAATGATCACCCTATCTCTATAGCCTCTGCCTTCAAAGTCATCTACAAGGCAAAGAGTAATTTACCCAAATCCCTACGTACCCGACTCATCTGTATTGCTGAAGCTTTGGCTATCGAAACAGAAAAGCCAGATCTCTGTGTACAGAAAAAGTTCGTTCAACCCCTCCAACTTTCATGGTCTTAATCCCTCTATGCTAAAGTATGGTAATCCCCAATCATATTTTAGCTCTACCAATTTTTCATTTTTGTCTATTCAATTTGTATACTCTTCCTTATTAAGTCAATTGTTACTATTACTACTCTCACTTTTAATTGTCCCCGGTATTATTTCACTTGTTCCACTTGTCATTCTAAATCAATTCCTTTTTACAACATTAAATTCTATGCTATTAAATTTCACACAATATTACGTAACGTTTTTTATTTTATTCGATTTGTCTACTAATCTTATAATTGCACACCCTTTTTCAAGTTCTATCCATCCTATGAATTATTCTATATATGACATTAATTTGCTTTGCCACTTGACATTTAACTATGATTATAATCACAAACATTTTAGTTTCAATTGCATTTCATATTATTATTATTATTTTATGCATTCACACCTACGATTCAATTCCCTCACCGGATATAACTTCTTAAAAACCATATATATACACGATTGTACAGCTTGATGATAAATTCGTTGTTGAAAAGAGTCTCTTCGCTGAATCATTTTTTTATTCTCTATATGTTACAATGGGAATTTTCCACCATTATTGAACAGTCTGATGATGACATTTTTCAAATGCCAATAGACTTAATCATCTATGGATGGCTACCAGTTTCGTTGAATGGTGTTTGTGCTTTATAGTGTAAAACTTGAGAAATATGAATTTTAATGGATTTTAACTCAGTGGTGCATAGTGTACAAATAGGTGTTTAGACTGCCTAAATTTGACTAGTCAACTCCTCTAGCTGACATGAATGGTTTCCAACTAATTAATATCAATCAACAGTGTTTTGAAGTAGTAACCGCTTAGCTTCGCAGCTATTTTAACCTAATTGAAAATCTAATTCTCTTTATAAAACACAAAATAATTGAGTAAAGAATATCCTTTTCGATAATTTCCTCTTCTGGCTCTACAATTATATATATGTTTATATACATAGAATATTCTAGATTAGTAGTCAATAACAATATTAGTGTCTTTTAAATAATATCGATTTGTAAAATAAGATCAATGGAATTACAGTTCATTAAAGATGCTTAAATTATAATAATAACGATAAAAATGTAGTAGCAAATAGAATATCAACTAAAATTATGGAAATTCCACAAAAATTCAGGATCATTCAAACCTAGATGGCCAAGGTAAGGATAATGTCTGAACTAGCTTCTTTTGGACGCACAAATTAGGCTTCTTGATGTGGATCTCAACAGCCTCAGCAATAGACGAACTCTTAAGGCGAAATTAAGATTTGTTGGTATGCGGTAAATGACCTTGAAAGCCTGGTTAACATCAATCTTGTGTTATGTATCCACAAGATGAGATAGAATAGCGCTGCGAACAGATTTTGTTTGTCCTTCCTTTACTTAACCACTATGCAGGGTGATGTTCGGAAATCCGACGAGAAACACGCCTAATTGTACGGCCTATGTGACTGGTTCCACAGGAGCAGTTAAACATATACTATATATATATATAATTGTAGGGCCAGAAGAGGAAATTATCGAAAAGGATATTCTTTGCTCAATTATTTTGTGTTTTATAGACGTCTGAATGAATATTCTCATTAGATAAACCTGTCTCCACTAACATCTTATCAGAAACGCCTTCAAATAAGGAATCGTATAAAGAGAAGTTAACTCTCTCTCATTATCAGATTTGTTTAACTTCTTACTGTCCTACACTATGACATGAATGTACATTCACACACGGTAACCAAACTGTTCCAGAATCATACTTTTGATAGTCTTTATTGTACCACTTTCCTCATTCCTGTAAGGTAACAGATATATCTGACAAGTTCCTAGTATTGATGAAATTCTATACAATGAAATTTGATATAATTTGATTGTTGGGAGTCATGCACAACCCTGAAGGAAGAACTCGTACTGTATGGATAGTCAAATCCATAAGGTAGAGACTTTAGGACGGAAATTTCGAAATACTAACTTCTCTTTGGGTTGAAGTGACGTTATTCTGATGAATGGCAGTATGCACAAAATATAGGCCAATGGGCTATTATTTTTTGAGTTTGTAAAACCTATTTTTTCATTCCTCACCGTCCCAAGGGGAACATATGGATTCAAGCTTTGCAGTCTCAGGGGTAGTGTTCCTTCAACAGAATCGGACTTCAAGACTTACTTACACTTAACCTTCCTCCTTTTACGTGCTTACTATCGTCAAGTTAACTAAGCCAGGTTTAGCCAGACCTCTTGCATGGCTAGCAAACCTTATTATCCCCATGAACGACCGACACAAACTAACTAACCTGTGAGAAATGTTCCAACTCTGCATCACGTTGTCGCATTTGATTAATTACATTCTCCCATTGTTTAATTAAAGCATCACGATTTGCATAAGCACTTTTCACTTCTTTACTAAGACATTCCAGCTCAACTTGATGAATCAGTGTATTTGTATAAACTGTATCCAACTTGGATTTTAATTCATTTCTACGATTTGTTAATTTCTCTACTTCTAAATCTAATTCCTAAATGAAAAAGATACAAAATGGAAACATGATACAGGGAAAATGATGATGATGATGACGAAAGTCAACTAAAAATTACAACAATTTAACATGCACATATGTGTGTGGGTATGATAAAAACGATCAGTAGTATAATATGACTACCTATAATTCGTTAAAGTAATATCTGAAATCCCCAAAGACTAGCATAGATTTACTTTTTCTTAATCATTTCATACATTTGTTCCCCTTAATGAATTTAAACAAAGCAACAACTACAGTTTTAGCAGAATAAAATGGTACCATATTTTATTTCGTCGCCTTCTCTTCAGCTGCTTACAGGGCACAAACATTATTAAATGTATCTACAATAACAATTTATCATACTTACACAGAGTTCATTTTAAACAGAAATCAATCGATCGATATACACATACACTAATAATATATACATATATGTATATATATGCAATCTTGAACACAATTCCGAGCATTAATAATCATACAAAATGAAAACGTTTTAGTATCTCGCATTAGGATGAAAAATATCCAGTTACCAGGGCAAAGAAAGACTGATAACTGCTTCTTTCTGAACGCACAAATCAGGTTTTAGGCGCTTGATGGAAAAGGCTTCAGCAAACTTAAGGAGCATTGAACTCTTTTGCTTATTGATAATTTTGAACGACTTTTCGACGTCCACCTCATGACCCGTGTCAAGAAGATGCCTGGCGATGGCACTGCTTAAAGCATTTGTTCCCTTTAGACGTAAGCTTTTTGGTACATGTTCAGAAAATCGTAGATATGCTCTTCTTTCTGTTCTTCCAATGTAACTGCTCCCGAAGATACATGTAAATTTGTATATACAGTTGGAGTTAACATGAGAAGGATATCTATGGATTTTTGATTGCACCAGAGAGCAAGTTGTTCAAAAGACGGGAACGAGCTTAGCTGCAGGATAGGCTATGGCTAGTGATGTACTCAGCCTTCTGTTGATCATCGCTGCAATGTTTTCGCCTTTATAATAAAGCTCTAAGCAGATTGGCTTTTTTCTTACTGTGATTTGTTTTACTTTTGCGACTTCAGATCTTCCATACTTGTTGATGAACCTTTGAGGGTACCCATTGCTCTTCAATGTTTTTTCAAGAAACTCAAATTCTTCCTCTAGTTTCTCTGTAGAGCATATTCTTCTCGCTCTATAGTACAGAGTCTTGACCAGTGCTCGTTTATAGCTATTTGGACAAAAGCTATTAAAATGTAAGTATTGTCCTTTCCATGTGGATATTTAATAATGTTTTTGCCCTGTAAGCAGCTGAAGAGAAGGCGACGAAATAAAATATGGTACCATTTTATTCTGTTAAAACTGTAGTTTTTGCTTTTTTCTTAATCATCTTCATTTTCTCAAAGTAGTAGTCCGTGTACTATTCACTCTTTCTACACAAACTGGTCTGAATTGGATTATTATTAATATGTAACAACAGAAGACAAGAGCCAGGCAACAGATCGTTTATTGAGAAAATCAACAGATATTTATAGATTTTTATGTACATTATTATTCGTTATTGTTAGCAGAGAAGCAACGTCTTCTGATTGGTTGTTTTCCTGCTGAAGGTTATTCTGTCATCTCTTTGTTGCCGTTTCTTAGACAGTCCGGTGATATATCTGCGAATCGTATCCGCCTACGCAAAGTCTGCTATGATTGGTTGTTGCGTTCCTCAAGGTTAAGCTTTGTTCTTGCTTTTTCTCATGAGCAAGATTTGGGACGTAAAAATTGACGTAAATTGCTGTCTACCAATTTGGGTTAGCAGACAGCTCTTACCACAAATATATATAGAATACTTCGTACAAAAGTGAAACTGTAATCAAAATTCATTAAGGGACAATAAGATGTAGAGAAAAAATGAAATAAACTTATAACAAACGAATGTGTATGGGATGAAGATACGGATTTAATTGACAAGATTAGATTTTGACTATATCTGTTCCACTGAGAATGATTTTAAGGTAACATCAACTTATGTCTTCACTCATTGATTCTTAGTATCTCAAGTATACTAAACAGGTGATTTAAACCTCTTTATATGTTGGCATAAAGGCGGCATTCGATTCTGTCGAGCGAGAGGTACTCTGGAGATGTTTGGCTGTGAAAGGAATGCCAAGAAAGTATATTGCATTGATCAAGACACTCTATTGGAACTTATGCAGGCAGCCAGGTGAGAGGTTATGGCGAGTTGTCATCTGAAGTGGTGACAACTAGTCGTGTCCGTCAGGGATGCCCAATATTCCCATTTCTATTCAATTTCATCATAGATGTACTAATGGACTTAACCCTAACTCACTTCAGAGACTCAGGGATTGACTTGTTACCAGGGGATAATCTCGTTGACTTAGAATATGCAGATGATATAGTCCTTCTAGGTGAAGACTCTGACAAAGTATAGTCTTCTGAACACCTTGAGTTGCAATCTGCGAATGTTTGGCATGCGATTCGTTCCCTCCAAATGTAAGATGATCCTACAGGATTGGACTACATTGACTTCTAGCTTAGAAATAAGGAGTGAAGTGGTAGAGCACGTTGACCACTTCACTTTTTTGGGAAGTTGCATCAGTCACCGCCAACGGGTTGATCGCTGACGAAATCTCAGCACGGATGCAGAAGGCTCGTTTCACATATGCCAGTTTACTCCATCTCCGGCGTAGACGTGATATCCGGCTGGCTGTCGACCAAAGGGCGTGTGTACTGCTCAAAGCAGTAGTCCGCTCCATCCTCCTTTATGGCTGTGAGACCTGGCCATTTAGAGTGGAAGACATGAAAAGATTAGCTGTCTTTGATCATAGGTGTCTGCGTTCTCTTTCCCGTGTAAAGTGGCATAATAGGGTGAGCAATATTGAGGTTAGGCGTCGAGTGCTATGTAAGGAGGGGAAATCAATCGACGAGGCTGTGAAGCTACATCGACCGAGATGGTTAGGATATGTGTTACGCATGCATGGCTAGCCATCGCCTTCCTCGACTGATGGGCAATGTTAGCTGACATAGGGTCAAGTTGGAAAAGAGCCAATGGTTTTCAAACCAAAACATTGCTTCATCAGTCAATGAAATCTACAACAGTTAGTTTAAGCCAGCCACGTAGGAAGATGTAGACTTCCTGAATGGTTGGGATCCTCAGGACGGTAAAAACCAGTGGCCTGAGACAATTGATTATATGGCTCAAAATCGTTCTGAATGAAACTATATTATTCTTCGATATTACTATTCTTTTTGTCTCATATCTGTGTTTAATGTCTCTGTTTTGCATTTCTTTCACTTTCTTCCCCTGCTCTGTGTGCTAAGTGAACTGTGGCGACTTGAACTGCTGCACATCGGTGCAAAGTTCTCTGTTGAAACCAGTCAGTCAGTCTTTATGTGACACAAACTAACGGCCAGAAACTTTGTAAATCCATGCTATGTGTTGCGTAACTCATCTTCTAGTTATCTCAATCAGTGCAGCTTCATAACCATATCGACTGGCTTCCTCTTCTTCTTATCTAACACTCTGCTGAACGTAGATTATCACCTCATACAAGAAGTTGAATACAGACATGCAAAGAAGGATGTAGCGGACAGCTGTATAATGCACACATTCACCTATCGATAGCCGGATATCACATCTACACCAAAGATGACGCAAGTTGGCAAATGCCAAAAGAGACTCTTTCTTATCTATCCTAAGATTTCATCAGTAATCAGTCCATTAGGGCTGGGACCATACTTCCTTAATCTATGCTTAATAGAATATGATTAGTAAATCATCCAAGTAACATAACCACAAATATAACTAGGATACCAATGAAATATAAGACAAGAGGTGAACCAAACTAAAAAAAAACCTTAAAATTGAATAGTCGCCCCCTCTGGAAACTTCACCAGAAGTTTATGCAAACTTATAGGGGAAATAAGCTAACAAACAAATGGTGGGATCGATAACAATAATAATGACGTGTCTCAGGTTGATATGGAGGAGATCGTTTGATGAGGAGATGAAAGCCTGTCAGAAATCGTGAAGTCAGTTAAAAATAACAACAGTGAACAGAGTGAAATCAAGGTGTTTTGCTGAAGACCTATGTTACACTTGAAATCCACTGGACTAATAACGATAATACACTGGTGCAGTATCAGGAAAAAGTGTAGAATAAGTTGATATAAGATTTTCAATTACGTTGTGATCATGATGGTATTTAAATTAACAATTAACTCTGCATGAATTTTTATACAAAACACTACGAAGACATAATTTATTCAAAAGTATGTAAAGTACTTCCTCAATACATTTCGGAAATTGTGATCACAAACGTTCTACGAGCTGACAAAGGAAGAACAACAGTAGTCATGGACAGAGAAGAATACACCAAGAAAGCTGATGAAATACTCAAAGATGAGGATGTATATCAACAACTCCCAACAAATCCTATACAAACATTAGACAAACGCATCCAAAGAACTTTAAACAAGCTCACCAAAACTGGTCAGATCACAAAACAAGACCAATGGCGAATGAAATCCAATGAACTAGTCCTACCTCGATTCTACGGCAGACCAAAAATACACAAGCCAAATATCCCGTTACGACCAATTGTATCACTTCCAGGAACTCCAACATACAATTTATCCAAAGAATTATACAGAAAATTGAAACACCTAACGGAATCATCTGATCACTCCATCAATTCTGCTATCCAATTTCTGGAGAAAATCAGAGGCATCCACATAGATGACCAAGAAATAATGATATCCTTCGACGTCACAGCATTATATTCCTCAGTTGGACAGAAACTAGCAAAAGAAACCATGGAGTAACGACTCAGCAACAACGAACACCTCCCACAACAATCAAAAATGCAACACAAAAGCTGGATGGAATGCATAAACCTATGCCTAACAACGTAGCTCCAATTCAATGGCCGAATATATGAACAAGTCAAAGGAACACCCATATGATCGCCAATATCAGGTTTGATTGCAGAAGCAGTGATGCAAAGACTTGAAAATACAATCCTACCAAAGTTCAAACCCAAAATTTGGATGCGTTACGTAGATGACAGACACATTTGCAATGATCGAAAGAAACGGGTTAGACAAAACTCACAACTTAATAAACAATGTCTTCAACGATATCGAATTCACAAGAAAATAGAAATCTGAGAACAGAATACGATTTTTGGACGTCTTAGTCAAGCGAACAACCACAGGGGAATGAGAAACTCAAGTTTATAGAAAATCAACTCACACAGACCAAATACTGAATTACAAAAGCAATAATCCAATAACGCACAAAAGGAATTGTATACAAACGCTATTCAAGAGGGCCAGGACTCATAGCAACACTCCCACCTTAAAGAAAACTGAAGAAAGATATCTCATGGACGTCTTCCAAAAGAATGGATATCCACGGAATTTCATCAAAAGACATCAATCCCAAGTCAACCTGTCAAATCGAAGGCCCCCAAGGAAAATCGCTCTACCATATATAAAGGACATCTCAGAAATCACTACAAGACTCTTCAGACCTTTAGGGGCTGACGTCGCACACAAACCAACGAAATCACTTCACTCACTTCTATGTCAACCAAAAGACTCACCAACGAAAGAGGAAAAAAGTAACATCATCTACAAAATAAATCGTAACAACTACGAAAAACACTACATTCGCCACAGTGGACGTACACTTCGTCTTCCTATTCATGAACATAAACTAGCCGTCAAGAGACATGGCATCCACTCCGTCATATCGCCTCACTACCTACAGATAACCACGGACATCAATTCGACTGTGACAACCAGCATTCAGATACTAGACAGAGGAAACACCAAGAATGACAGAGAATTTTTAGAAGCCTGGTATTCCAGTAAATCGTCAATCAACAGACAAATCGAAATAGACAAAACCTACCAACCGATAAGAAGGAAATCTCACACACAAAAGGTCAAAGTTCAAGTCAAGGAAACAATCAGTTCCAATACAAGTAGCAGTCTGGAGGGTGTGAAAACACACAAAAACAACCAAAGAGTCGCGTTCAAGGTGGTCACCAGGAGAGATGACTTATGAACTCGTGGAGAAATCTAAAAGCTCACTTCCTTCAAATTGTAGTGTATGCGCTGAAGTAGGGCAATGAAAGCTTTGCAAATTAACTATCCAGCTCAGAGGACACAACCACACATCATACATATTTATACAGTAGGCAGTAGAGTATTAAGGATCACAGCAACTCCATACTCAAACACCTCATCAACTCTGGACATTGAGCACCTCCGCATGAATGCTTCACAGTTCTACACGGAGTCCCTCAATATCGTACGAAAAGACTTCGAATACTCTGAATCATTGGCTGTTCGGGATCTGAAACCTGACCTCTGAATTCAAAAGCACCACATATATACCCTCACCCTGCAGTGGCCTTTTACTATGTAAGTTTATTATTATTCTCAACACCCATATTTTTATTATCACTCTATTACTGTTTATCAATAACACTGCTTTTTCATACAGATTTTATATGAAAACAGTTTATCGTCTTTCCACTAGTTCCTGTCCATTTTACACGATCATATAGATTAGTCATTTTTTCAAAATTATTAAGTCGTGCCAACTTCTGCCGCCTTTTCTAATTTCCAATTAGTCACCCCTTCTAGACTACACCTTACATTGAGTAATACGTTTTTCGAGGACAAATGTTACTAGTATCTGATTGGCTGTCTTATAAATTCTTTGTTAAAGATAATTACGATTGTACAGCAGCTTATGAAAATGAATCGTCGGGAAGAAAATTTTCTTTGCTCTTTACGTTTTTTTCTTATGATTCAGTATAGGAATATTTCGTTCATCGAAGAACTCCAGGGACCTCGTGACAGTGAAGGAAGTGGACAGATTCCCACGTTTTTCTGTCAAGCTTGCTGAAGTTAACACAGAGCTTAATTTCCTGAAGCGATGCATCACAATTTTTATCAATATAGGTAGGTCAAAATGTTTAGTGGTCACAATCACTGGTAGAAGGTAGGAGAATGAGGTAAGATAAAAGTGTAGGGGGGAGTAATATGAACCCTAGTTCTAAAATTGCGCTACCATGGTAGATTCAAAGCAATAACAGTTAACTGAATTTTAGATTTTTCCCGTCGATTGATTGGACCGAAGTGCTCGGTCTCAGGTTGACATGCCGGCTTCTTGAGCAGATGCTTCGACGATGTCTGGGCATTTAATTAGTATTTAATTGGTGGATGGTGACTAGCAGTGGAATCCAGGATGCGCATTTCGTCCTATTTGGGACTCGTCAGTTGGATGTACCTGCATTTCTCAGTGAGTGATGCTGTTCCCACCGAGGCTCGAACCCAGTGCCCATAGTTTCAAACGCCAAAGCGTTATCCACTAGACCACTAGAACACCACCAGTTAAATAACAGTTAAGTTTCAAACACATAAAACAGATTTAAACCATTTCAATGGCTAAGGTTTCAATGAATCTTCTCAAAGACATGCATCAGTTGAAGTTACCTCCCCCTGGGGAACAGTACACAAAAGACAAAAACAGAAAAAAAACAGAAATTGAAACTTACTTTAATTTTTGAATTATCTTGTTTAATATACTTTTCAACAATTTTCATATCTTCATCATATTCACCAATTGTTTTCATAAGATTTTCTAATGAAACTTTATTCGAATCAATATTGGCGGAGGAATTCTCCAACTCTTTGCGTTTTTGATAAAACAGGGTCTGGACAAAAGGAGAGAAAAAAGGCAAAAGAGGAATAAAATTTTCAAAACAAAAGTCAACTGACCTGGTAATTGATGACTAAAGGTGAAGGGAAAATATGGCGGGATTCGAACCAGCCATCCTTGAAGTACTAGTTCGATGGTCTACTAGGTTGAATAACCTTAACCAGGCAGAACCGTTTCAACTACAGACGGAACAGATGAGAATGTGAAAGCCAGGAGCGGAAAGGTTAGACAGACTTCCATCACTCTGAATCAGTTTGGAAAACTTCTACACTCAGCATTAAACAACAAGATTCGGATTTTCAACACAACTGTTAAGTTAATCACTCCTTCTACATCGGTCAGAAACTTGGCGCGCCACCAAAAGCATTTCCGATAGGCTATTGAAGGCTTTTATCAAAAGTTGCCTTCAAAAGCGCCATAATGAAGATCACACGGTCTGATAGAAGACAATCAAGAACCTATCGGTCAACAAATATGTAGAAAAAAGTTGAGAATTATCACACACACTCTGAAGAGATCGTCTAACGATATTGTGCGCCAGGCCATCACTCTAGAGGAACTTCAGTAGGAAATGATGTGTGGGGCGTCTGAGGGTAACACGAAGGAGATCCTGAGAGGAGGAGATTAGAGACTATGGGCAATTATGGGGCCAGCTAAAGAGAACCGCAGAGAATAGGACATAGTGGAGATGTGCTGCGGAAGCCCCATACTCCGCTCAGGACCCAAGGGGACAATAACATTAACAATAAACCATATGTTATATATTGTAGCGCGTCAGCCTTTAATTGGTAGAATGACTGTCAACCAGCTCATGTGGTCGGGTTCGTCGATTTCAGGCCAGCGAAATGCTGGAGGTCACCTAGTTCACTAGCCGTTAATAAGCCTGGAGAAGCCCATTTGGCTGTATCTGATTGATAACACCAATATTATTCCCGAGTGTACTTCACCTTATATTGATTTTATTCAAATGTTTAATCATCAATTTTACTCATGTATATTAATAAAGCAAGAGAGTCGTGTGAGTGCATTGATATGATAATGAGCAGTAATAATTTGTGGTCAAAACGTTGTCATCAGTAAATATTGCTGTATAACAACACTGTGTGATTTATCAAAATAAAATCTTATCTATAATGGAGTTACAGTCTACTACAGTGCCCAAGTTTTATACTTCTATCAGTGGATAACTCACAGGAGTCAGACAAGGGTGCTTATTATCACCAATGATATTCTTAATTGTGGTGGAGTGGATTATGCGTCAGACAGTGAGAAACGAGAAGATAGGGATATCCTGGACCGACGTGAAGAACCTAGAAGACCTGGATTTCGCGCGTGGATGATTTATGTTTGATGTCACACAAAATCGAAGACTTACAAGCTAAAACCGACAAACTGGTCGAAGAAGCAGCCAGAGAAGACAGGACTCCAGGTGAACATAGACAAGACGGAGGTTATGAAAATAACCAACCAACAAAAACAACAACAGCAGCAACATCCAGCGCCAATCACCATCAACGGGAGGGATTTGAAAGAGGTTACTTCATTCACTTATCTAGGGTGAATTGTCTCAACTACAGGCAGGTGGAACGGACGAGGATGTCAAATCGAGAATCGGGAAGGCGAGAAACACATTCATCAACCTGAAACCAATCTGAAAATCTTCGTCACTCAACATCAACAGCAAAATTCGGATTTTCAATACAAACGTCAAGTCAGTTCTTCTATACGGATCAGAAACTTGGTGGGTCACAAAGAGTATTTCTAACAGCCTGTTGCAGACCTTTATCAACAGCTGTCTTCGTTCTATACTCAAGATCAGATGGCCGGAAAGAATCACCAACAAGAGACTATGGGAACAAACAAAGCAAGAACCAATCACTCAACAAATATGCAGGAGAAAGTCGAGATGGATTGGACACTCGCTGAGGAGACCGTTGGGTGACATCGCGCGTCAGGCCAACGCTCCAGTGGAACCCGAAAGGGAAGCGGCGAGTGGAACGTCCAAGGGTGACATGGAGGAGATCGTGTGATGAGGAACTGAAACAGTATGGACTAACAGGTGAAAAGTACAGCAGAAGAGAGAAGCAAATGGAGACGTGCAGTTGAAGCCCTATGTCCCACTTGGAACCGAAGGGAACAATAAT